CTTTCATTCTTTGAGACAATTGTGTATCAGTCACGCGATTAGAGACTTGTTTTTTCATAGACCAGTTGGCAATCAGTGGGTAATATCAACATCACATCAACCGCCTTCACTTCTTGAAGCATTACCGGCTGGTTCGACCAGGTCTTTCTCCTTTTAGCGTTTACTGGCTGTTAACCCCAGGAGAAAGTTATAGTTGTTCGTTTACTTCTAACTTTGGTCTTGTTCTAGAGTTTTGCGTGCATATCCCTTTTAAAGATCCGGCTTATTGGTACGCAGACTGTTGGTTCCGCACCTCTCATGCAAATGTATTATGTCTTCAAACAAAATGCTCATAATTAGTCACTTTCTGCTGGTAGTCTTAGTTTCAGCTTCATAGCAAACTGGTCGCCCCATCTTTGCTCCGCTCCTGTGCCAACGAAAAACACACAGAATGTTTATCACAGTCCCTTGTGGAAAGATTGACAGACTGCTGTCTCAGCATACGGTAGCCATCTGAAGTGCTAATACAAACAGTCCGACATTAGAAATGCAGTTCATCATTGATGGTAGCAGAAGTCACTAACTAATAGATCAGCAGTTGCCCACGCGAACAATTTTAATCACATACGGGCACCACCAAAATTGGGACAACAGGCATCGCGCCATTTTCTGAATCTAAAGTTCACACCACCACGTTGGTCACAGTCGAAAAAAAAACATTCCAAAAAAAAATCAGCAGCTCACAGTGTCACGCCATGCATTTAACTCAGAAGCTGGGCAACAAAACTATATCTAGTCTACAAATGGAACAAAAATGCATCGGCCACCGTCTGGCAGAAGCAAACAATTTGCCTCGGCTCCAAACAGTGGCCCGCCTAGCGTCCATTTTGACGAAGTTTTTTTTTTTTTTCTTCTGCTACATGCTTGTAAAAGGGCAGTGGGTCTATCCTACCACCCCCTCCCAAAAGGATCCCTTAGCCCACAAGGGAAGGAGCCGCCCATAGACCAGTCAACACTTTGGTGATGTGGTCAACATCGCGCTTGCCACCTTTACTTCCCAAGATTTAACCTGGTATCCATTTAAGACTGGGTCGACGTGGAAGCCGGTCATTACTGAAAAAGTCTACCCGTATAAAATAAGATTTATAAAGAAATAACGAAAAGTCTACTGGCAGTAGAAACCGAAACCATATCTGAAAACGGATACCTTATAGTTTTCATCAAACACAGCATCCCACCTAATTATTATTCTTCTCTTTCACCTTGTACCTCAGCAAAGTGTCGGGGGGAGATCAAGAGTACTATTTAGATTGATGTTAATTTCTGTAAGGCTGTTCTTAATGCCTTCACTCAATATTTCCGAGGTCTTCCGCTTGCTCTATAGCCGTTGTCTCTCATAATTCACACCAATGAAATTGCAGCAAAAAAAAAAAAAAAACCAGTCAAGCATTTTGATGATATGACGTCATTCAACTTTTGCAAGACCGACTAAAAACAGCTGTCGTTAGCTGTTACCGCCCTGGTGGGATACAAGTTCATTCCTATCCCTACTCCAATTGTTAAAGAACAAGAATCTTCGTATATCATGTCTAATTTCATTTATCAGTTCACATACATTTGACTTCAACAGAGAGACAGCTTGCACAATAAGTGGCAAAACATATCCCTGAACGGAACAACACATGCATAAGTGTCAACAATGTGATTTATGCACGTCAGCTAAAGAGATTCCTTTTTTGTGCGTGTGTACTAAACGTTGACTTAACTCTGTAGTAAAGTACCTGAAGGGATACAGCAACATACGGCAATGTATTTTCTGCGTCCGTATTATTTAAATTTACAATGGGGAAACAGTTTTGAACATGTTAAGTCGCTTTGGACTTACTTGAAGAGTAGCCCGCAGTGAAAAGGTGATGCAAGAATTGCATAAGCTTGGTCACAACGCTAACAAACTGGTGCCGCGTTAGCGCAGTCGATAGGAGACTAGCTAACGAATCCAGCTGCGACTCGCTGCAGCCCACGGCCGGTTTTCGAAACGGACGGTTCCCGGGGTTCACCTAGCCTCTAGGAAATGGGTCCCAAAGTTAACATTCTGTATTAAACAGAGGAACGTCGCTGTAGCTATGGAGTTTCGTGCGAACGGCGACAGAGGTTGACAGTTTCTTATGAGCTGTCCGTACTGGTGGCAGAGCACTTATGATTTATAACGGTGTGCAATGACGTTGGTTCACATGCCCCGACTTTACCTTTACCAAACACAAAGCACATTTCTCATTTGGAGCCAGTCACACAAAAATAAAATAGCAATCTTCATCTGCACTTTCCGGTAACTTTTGCCAGTCGGGTGCCACGAAATAAAGTTATGTTTTTTTTTATACTTTCCTGACTGCCTTCACCATAGACCATTGTAGAACTTCCCTGTGGTATCTTTTTCAACCTCTTATAACATCTCCTCTTTTGGTATATCATATGCTCTGTATCTTCGGGAGAAGAAGCGTATTGGGGAGGATACTAGCCTCATCCTAGGAAGAGGAAATGCAACCTAAAAACTGTATGTCATAGCTAGGCAGACCAGGCTCTTAGCCTTGGCTGGCAGCTGGTCTAGGGAGGATGCTCTGACATGCGGACAGATAGAACACTGCCTCCCTGATCTGGCGGCAGCTTCTGCAGCCTGCTTTGTTCCAAACGTACTGGTGTTACCTTTACAAGGCAGGTCGAATGATGGATCATGATGCAGGGGCTACATATGGTCTCTACAATACTGCCCAGGCTTTTGGGTTATGAAGAGGATAAACTTCATCCCTGGCCGCAAACAAATCGAGAGGCAGCAGTTACGGGTTTAAGTCCTTGTCAACTGGCGTAGACGAGGACGGCACGAGTTGCCTCTGACAGTAGAAGACATCTTCGAATGTCACTGATCAACTACCGCCCGCCTCAAGCTGGGCAGCCCTAGCCAATAAGGTGTTGATCCGCCACAACTTGTATGCTTTAATGGGTGCTTAGAGCTATGACAAAATCCGAACTGCAGGCTGTAAGACCAATGCACCAGGCGATAGAAACATAACCTCAAGCTTTAACTTATCTCTTGCAACGCGAGAACCATGTGTTCCGGGTTTTCCACTGACCCGGAAAACAGGGATGTGAGTAAAATGGCTAGCATTGATGCCAAACCCAACAAATTTGACATGAAACTCATTTGCCATAAGATGGGTCGATTATAGAAACAATTTCTTCTGGAAGACAGAAGCCAGGAATAAATCCTTATGAATGGATATGGGTTTGCAGTATAGAATTCACTATTAGGATCAGTTGTGAGTCCAACTGGAGGAAGTGACAATATTATTTCTACAATTGCCTACCTCAAGCGGTTTAATCACCCTTGTCACTGCGTATGCACCCACTCAAACGTCAACAGAGGACGAAAAGGATTCTTGGAGTGAAAGCAATTCCCAAATCTGATGACATCTATATATTTGGTGTTTTTAATGCTCGCTAGCGTCAGACTCATTCTCATGGTCAGTTTGTCTTGGAAAATATAATGTTGGCCACATGAATGAAAATGGACAGACTACTGGAATTCTGCACTAGAAGTGACTTGTTCACTACAAACTCCTTTTTCAAAACTAAAGACCAATATAAAGTGTCATGAAAACATCCAAGATCTGGCAACTGGCCCAGCTGGACATTATTCTCACAAGGAGGCAGCACTCAGAACTACCACTAACTCGCAGCTACCACAGAGCTGGCTGTGATACTGACCATTCCCCAGTTGCTACAAGTTTAAATGAAACTAAAGAGAATTTTACTTTAAAAAATGCATATCCCTAGGTTAAATATTTCAAAAACTAAAGACCCTGAAAAGTATTTTGTGTTTCAACAACAGCTTGAAGATGCTTTCACTGGTATCCGGGATAACTCTACAGCAAACCTGAAATTGGATGCAATTAAAGAGACTACAAAACAGCTTATCAGTCTATGGGATTCTAGAACATAGAAGTAAGGATTGGTTTGAAGCAAATAGCCAGACACTCCAACCTTTAATTGACAGCAAAAAGTTAATACTCCTCAGAAACAAGGAATTGACAGCAGCTAGAAATCGTGTGTGTGCCAACGACTACTGGATCCAGTTACGTGAAAGCATTTAAAATGCTAGTAGTAATAGTAGTGTTAGAGGCATGTATGAGGGGATAAAGAAGGCCATCGGTCCCTCTATTTAAAAAAAAAAGGGGGAGGAGAGACATTAACAAAAAGATGCCTCTAGACAGATGGGTTGAAATTTATCTGGAGCTATACTCAGTTGAAACTACACAGATGGTGCTCTTTATACCATAAAGATGCTACTAACTCTTGACTAACACATTTCCAACAGTTGTAGAAGCTAGGAATGTTACTGATGAATTGGCTTGGTGGAAAGCCCCAGGCAGAGATGGAATTTCTACTGAGATAATCAGGAGTGGGAAAGACAGTCAGGGAAAAGGCGAGAGAGATATACAATCAGTTACTGACAACATTGGAATTGAAACTCTTTGCTTGCCGCTGAAGATGAGGACAGAGCCTCATGGGGGTGTCCCCAGTGGTGTGCTGTTGATCCTTAATTCAATATTCATGACGTCATTTCTGATTGTGTTTACTCTGCTCACTCCAGCGTTCTTCGTTTCCAATTGTAATGCTGAAACCAGCATTCTGTATCAAACCCATGCTTGTTTCCAAAATTGAACATACAATCACCGGTAACGGTTATAGGATCAACTTCACTGCACTAGCTTTTATCCCATTTGGCTCAGTCAGTCTCTGCAGAGCAGCCAGCTGCCTGCCAAGAGCGTCCTTCAGAGCTCAAGGATTGCCATAAAAACTACACCTGTGAAGGAAATGCCGCCACCATGAACCCCAAACTCTTGACCTTTAGGGCACACTACAAATGGCCTGAGCACCTCACTACAAAGACATACTGTCATCTCAGGTATTCCTCCATTTAAAAACCACACACAATTTTAGCAGGCACTTTTATTTCTAGTTCATCCCTACAATACAAATTCAGGGAACTCAAAAGTCACATCTTTGCCAGTCAACTTCTTGTAAACAGATGTGAATGTCTCCAACTGAAAATATATAAAGAAAGAAAGGTCCATCAACTCCAAAAAATAAAAAAAGCACAGAAGCCTTTAATATTTACACATTTAACACCCCCCCCCCCTGATTATGCAGACAACAAGCACACGAGCATTACGTCTTTTACAGAAACTTGAGAACAAAGAAGGTGGCTGGGTGAAATATACATCACGATTTATGTACCCAACACTGATTAATAAATATCAATTACATATCACACCTCGGCCTCAGGAGCTATTCTCCAGTCATTCTAAAGTAACTACTCTTCAATTTTAAAACCACAAGTTTCATACTGTAGTGTTCGTCCCTCAGAAATATAACATACCCCTGTGTTATTTACTATGCATTATTCAATGTACTAACCGGAAATTTCATTGTATTAGGATAGCGGGTGCACCTGGGGGTTACAGGTAACTGACCTTGAATATATGCATGGGGTGGCTGCTGACTGGTGCCTCAGACAAGAAAATTATCAAATGCTCCACATCAAGGAAATAATTATTTGAATATTTGAGAAAAGACAAAAGGTTGACTTCATTGATAAGGTTAAAGCATTAAATAAAACCGAACAAGTTTTGCTGCAAATAAATGTCACATCACTGTGCTATGCTTGATTTGTATTTTCAATACCAGCCGGTACTCTACAGGTGATGTGTTCAGTACCAAACAAACCACCTTTACTTTCCATGATTTTATTTTGAACTCATATTAGACAGATGAACCGGAAATTATTTTTTAAAATGGAAAAATCCAACTTGATGTGGATCTAAATCCTAACCTTTATGTCAGACATCGAGCTTTTGCACCAGGGTGGCTCGCAAGCATAAAAAATATAAATATACATATTTAAAGTACATAAAATATGTCCAAAAATGAATAAATAAATCACCACACATAATATAACTTGTTTATTGGCACACTGACCTTGTGCTCAACATTGTTTTGTTGGCTTTTATCCAAATGAATCTTGATGACCTTGGAACCATCCAACTTGACTCGTACACGTTTGCCAACAATCTCAGCAGGGAAGCACAAATCCTCCAAAATAGCCTCATGTACAGCTGTTAGTGTACGGCTGCAACAAAATGACCAACAATGTTACAAAACCTTACATGAAACAATGTTACAAAACCTTACATGAAACAAATGCTACAAAACCTTACATGAAACAATGTGCAACTTTTGTATATGTGCTTCTCTAATATTGGACTCGGGCATGAAGGGTTATGTGAACAAAAAAAAGTAACCATAAAAATTTACCAGTGTTTGTCTGACTGACGTAACTATTATTGTTCACAGTACAGCACCTTTCAGCCCTCACATTTAACCAGGAATTGGTTTATAGGGGTACTTTCCTGAATAGTTTTATCTGGCCCTGTTGGGTAACCATGTAAATGAGAAAAGACTGACAAAGAACTAACTAAATTACATGCAACGACAACAAAAATAGTTGGCCTCCTTAGAGAGATCATCTTGTGAGGAATGTTAAGCATAAGGTAAACCAAGATCAAGATAGAAAGAGGATTTCCCTCAACACCTGAAGAAATGAAAAATTAACAGATCACATGGCTAATTTATTTATACTCTTGAATCTAGTTTAGTACCTTCTTGGTCTCTTTTGCTTGTTCACCCTCTTGCTGTTCCTTGTAGGCTTCGGCAAAATTCTTCTCTGCAGGAAAAACAATGCACTTGAATAAAACAAACAGTCAAAAGGGTTTAACACTAAGAACACGTGTTACAAAAGATAAGTAAACTAACATCAAGTCTTTATTAGGAAATACTAATGAGAAACAAAAATCAAAGAATGCCACATGTATAATACATTACTGAAAAAATATAATATAAATCTACACAGATTCAAAGAAGAAGAGAAAGACATGAAACAGTCCCTGTTCTAGGATGTAGAGAGGAACAACACTCATTGCTCCCTCAACAAGCATGTCAAATACTTGAAATAACAGCCGCTATGTGGCAGCTGAATACAATGTTAAAGATAAAGAGCAAAATCAGCATCGCAGTCAGGGTCAATATTTACAAATCACTGGTGTTGTCCATTTTCTTATACGGATGTGACAGTTGGACTCTTCACTGTGGAAATGGAAAGGAGGGTTCAGGCTTTCGAATGTAAATGCTACAGATGCATTACACAAATTATTTAGAAAACAAAACGAATAAATATGTCAGAGACAAATTATACAAAATTTGCGGGGACTTTAGGAGCCTTTCTTGGCAGTGGTGAAACATCACAAGCTAGCTTTGTTTAGGCACACAGAGACAGGATTTGATTGCAAAGACTGTACTTTAACCCTTTCGCTGCTACGTTCCCGGAAATAGTTGTCCTCCCTGTGCTAAGCAATGTGAAAAAAAAAGTCTCTGCTGTGCGCAATACTTTTCTATCCTCCAAACGCAAGAGATGCATGGCGGTGAGGGCTATATTTTGTACACCCAAAAAAATTTACCCTGGGAAGTTGTGTGTTTGGTCCGAGTGGTGACAAGTCAGAGGCACGATGGTGGCCCACAAACTTGACTAACGGAGCTATCATCCTTCTGGGGGTGGGGGGTTAATGATAAGAACTGTTCCCTGTCCGTATCCCAAAATTTGATTGACGAACCTACCACGGCTGCCACTTTAATCATAGTTATTTGTAGTCACCATGTTATTAAATACCAAAATAATAAAAAAAATTTAATAATAATACTTGAGTCGTCCGTTGATAAAAAGTAGCAGGAACTGAAAGGAAAATTTACAATAATTAAAAAAAAAATAAAAACACAACTTCGGGGGTTGAACACACGACCCTCTGATTCTAAGGCGAACGTGATACCAACTACACTATACTACCGCTTGACGTATTTTGCTGTGTGAATGATAATAATGACTGATGTACGCAGACTATCAATAACGTGCCTAAGCTTGTAGTCTATCGCCGCCTGCATGAGCACTGTTGTCTGAGAAATGTTTGAGATTCTCAACAATAGTAAAAATATGTCCCTCGACATTATTTCACGGGAGTTTTTAGCAAACAGTCTTTGCTCAAGTACTCTATTTTGAGTTTCTTTGTTCTAAGCATTAGCAGACAGACAGCCAAAAAAAAAAAAAAGTTCGTCCGAATCTGTGTCTGTCCATCGGGAAAGACGAGAATTTTTAGTGACTGAACTGTTTGAATTTTCAGTAGCAGAAATACAGTTAGAGCTGGAGTCATCAAAATTATGCACTACTGGTTTCAAATCAACGGTTCATAAAGACAACTGATCAATTTATTGCCGTTTTGATGGCGCTTCATTGTCGCTGCTCTCTGATTCCGACAATGAGGACGTCGGACAGGCAAACAGCTTTTTTTGGACACGACGGTTTCAGCAGTCGATACTGATGGACTAGTCAAATCTTTTTGTTCACTGTCAGAAGTAAACATTTCAAAGTTATCTTCGCTATCACTTCTTGACAGAAACTCCATAAATTCTTTAACAAGTTTTCTTGCCATTTTGTACTAAGTGTAGAATAATACAAAAGCACAAATATATATCAGGGCACAAAATTCACAGATCACCGACCACGCTGTCACGGTAAACGAAGCAACGGGATAACGCAGAATGCAGTAAACACACCTTAAACACACCTAAAAGTACGTGCCAGTGCTTTTAATCATATGTAAATGGGTCAGTTTTATCTAAATATAGCTAATGTATATTGCCCTTCAGCCAATAAAATACGAGAAATCTGTAGGAAAAGTCCAAAAACGGCTTAGGACGTCCATAGCACTGGGGGTCAAGAAAAAAAATAACGTCCAAAGACGGGCGTAGCAGCGTACGGGAAATCGGGAAAAGACGTCCATAGCAGCGAAAGGGTTAAGAAACATTGGAGGGGTAGTCAAAGAAGAGAAGGACAAAAAAGAATCTGACATGACAACATCAAAAAATAGACTGGACTTAGCTATCATGAACTTATCAAACGGAAGCAGGTTTTTATGTGCCAGTGCTTCCATCAATACACCTCTACGACCCTACTGGGTCAAGGATTATGTTATGTTATAAGTTAAAAAAAATTAGGGGTTTCTTTAGAAGGAAACTGACAGGTAAAAATATAAAAAAAATAAAAGCACATCAACCATGACATGCTTGTAAAATTCTTAAAACAAGACTAGTACAGAAGTGGGCGAAGAACCAGAACTTACAGCCAGTGAATATCAACAAGCAGCACTGAGACATGATCCTTTAATCAATACCTTCAGACACAATAATGATGTAGTTTATCTGAATCATGTCATGCAGTGTGGCCATTGTGTCAGAAGTTTGTGTACTGCCAATAATTTCTACTACAAATGTTTGTCAGGTGGGGGAAGGGTGTATAATGCACCTTTCTCCTGCCACTTACCTGTTATGATCCATACCAACTGTTCCGTTATATGAACCAAAGAAATTTTCTGCCAACTTTCTGATACACTCGTTAGCCTCTGATTTATAGGTTTTTTTTTCAAGGCATTACTCATTTCACCTGTCCTAGGTATTAGCTTCCTTTGATTCAGTTTTCCGGTAGTAAAACTTTTGACCCTTTTCCTTACCATTGGGCGTTAGGTATCTAGTCCTTTACCAATATTTTATACAATGCTCGGCACAGTGGGTGATGTGGTCAAAACCAAACAGGTCAATTTTTACTTCCCAAGACTACCTATGCCTTTTAAAGTCCAGCCCCACGTGAAAGGTGGTAACAGAACAAAATAGGGGATTGCTAGGTGTGGGCGAAGTATAGTGTGGCCTCGTGCCACGGGACCGCTACGGTAGCCATGAAGGCCACCCTGAAACGTCCTGGCCAACGGGGCTCTGGTGAAGTTGCGACAGGCCTAGCAAGCCGGCAATGGATTTATCATCACTACAGAAAACACAATGAGATATAAACGGACTAACAATCCCAATCAGCACAAAGAGACATTCAAAGCATATTTATTCCAACTCTGCTACCAGTGCCAGACATGGTCACTCACAACAAACCATAAAAGAAAATTAGTAACCATGGAAATGAGATGTCTGAGAAGGGCTGTAGGAGTGACCATTAGAGATAAGATCAGGAATGAGATCATAAGAGAACAAGCCGGCACAGAACCAATTCTAAATTACATACGAAGACAGCAAGTGAAATGGTTTGCCCACTTAGAGAGAATGCCTTGTGACACCATACCATACAAAGCATACATAGAAAGAGAAAAAGGACGCAGAGCACGAGGTAGACCAAGAACAATATGGAAGGATAACATCAGAGAAACTCTACAACAGCACAATGTGCATATGGTCGAGGCAGCTAGAAGAGCTAGAAACAGAACCTTATATCTCCCTCGACACCCACAGCGGTAAAAGAGGAAGTGAAGAAGAAGACTACCTATTTGGTTTGGTCAAGCTGGCAGCCAGTGCAATGTTTGGGGGGAAATCTCACCTGATGCAAACTTGTACTCATGACCTGCGTGCCCTAGGCAAGCATCTAGCTACACAACAGCTCCCATAGTGACACTGGTGGTAAAATTTAAGAATATTTGGACATATTAAATGTATAACAAGACAACACACCACTGACCTGAGCAATAAAGACAACAGGCTTGCCATTGAACTTCTTTTCAAGTTCTCTAACCAAACGGGTTTGGATTTTCTGGTAAGCTTTCAGCTGAGGAACTGGAACGTAAATGACGATGGCCTTTTTGCCTTGAACATCAACCTCCTGTGCCATGAAAAAAAATTGTCTGTTAGTGTACAAGACTGAAAAAGCACCTTCACACACAGAGGCAAGTCATTATTGTGTGTCACATTTTGTTATGAAGAAAATGGCTTTGAGCTTGAATTCTACAGAAAGATTCCTGGAATATGATGGGCCAAGAAGACAAATTTATTATTAAAGTTAGGCCAATTATTTGTTATAATGGGTCATCTTTAGTGATGTGTATTATAAGTTTTATACTTTGAGTCAATTTTTTCTCCTCTAGGCTTTTCCTTAGTATGGTGTATGTGCTCTTGCGTGGATCAGTGACTGAAATCTCCTGGGCATGGATGCCCACTCTTCCTGGAGTGGACCACTGACTGGAGCAACATCTCTGCGACAAATTCATCTTTGCAGCTCATTTCACAGGTGCTCAATCGGACTCATGTCTACAGACAGATTGGCCTGGAAAGAGTTTGAATGTTATTTGCAGCTAGGAACTGCGTTGTCAACCTTGCAAAATATGTCTATTGTTGTCCTGTTGAAAAAGATAGTTGGCATCCCAAAATCGAAGGACATGTGGTTGAAAAATGCAATTAGCATATCGTTGAGCATTCAAGCTTTCTTCAGTGTGCACAATTTTACTCCTTCCATCGCAACTGAGTATATCCTACACTATTACACCTATACCACCGTGCAAAAGAGCCACATCAACAAAATTCTGGGCAAAACCAATTTGCATACAGTAGACCTTTCGCCATTTATAATAATGCTGCATTAAAAAAAAAAGGCAAGAATTGTCACGTCTCCATTTACTGTCACCTGCCCATAGACGATGGTTGGTCCAAAGAAGTTAAATTCAGTGGTGGCGTCGTGTAAGAACAGGTCATCAGTGTGGTCGTTGTGCCTAAAGTCCAACAGCATGCAGTCTGTTCTGATCAGTTTTATCAGACACACGACGTCCTGGAGATAATGCCTGCTCAGTTAAGGAAGCTATTGAAAACCTGTTTCTAAAGTGGTGATGCTCAATAAAGCGATCTCTGCTGCTGTTGTCACTCTGGGTCGTCCAATGGGATGTCGATCTTCAACTGAACCAGCGGACTGGAACCTGTTCCAAAGTTGACTGATGGTAGTCTCATGAACGTTCATATCGCTGGCAAGTTGAATGGTCAACAGTAATATTCCTTAACCCTACCAGACCACTGGCCCGTTTTTCTGGGAATTTCCTAACCAGCCGCTAAACCGCTGGCCCACTTTTCCATGAATTTAAGTAGTAAGTGACAAATGTGTGTCACAGACCAGAAATAACCAGCCAATCGCCATCAGACTTCGTTGTTAGTCATTGCGAATAACTTCCGGCGTGTGCTGAGATTTTTTTGTGTGGTTTGATGTAAAAAAATCGGAAAATTCTCAATGAAACGAGAAAGTGACGTAGGTCTAGGCTTATCACAGTCCAACAGTTGATCGATACTTTGGTTAATTCAGACTGTGAATACGTTCTCAGTTGAAGTGACAGTCAGAGCTAGAGTGAGGAGAATTATGAAAATTATAGATTTAAAACTAGATCGATAGTAAGGGGGCGTGTCCCTCAAACAGCAACATCTGGTGCTTGCTTTGTGAATAAAGACTGATCCTACTAGGTGAATTAGCACACAAAGGGGGAAGATTCGCGCTGGATGAAAGGTAAACCTATTTTTATTTTCTACAATGTCTCCAATTTTTATTTTATTCTAACCACTTGTTTACATGTAACTAATTTTTTTGTACATCCTGTTGGTTTTTTGCGTGTTAGTGCTCAGGAGCTCAGGTTTAGGGACAGTTAGGTTCAGGGCGTCAGGTCTGGTAGGGTTAAATTTATTGATAGATATGCCATTCGTGACTGTTTGAAAATGTTTTGATGTAGCGTTATCCTTTTACAGGGTTTTAATTGCATTGGCAGTTACTAGTGTTTACCCACACTGTGTTGCTTTCTTGTGTGCACATCATAAGCTATGCTTCCAAAAATCATCTTAAAGACAACTGACCACTGTGTTTGTAATTTTCTTTGTTCTGCATATGTTGTAAACTCCGGCAGCAACTATTTATAATTCAAAAAGCATCCTGTGACTATAAAATATTATTTTGTAGCGCATTACCTATAAGAATGTTTACAAAATATATACACAAAATTTCATGTTTATAATTATATTGATCAAAATTTTGAGATTTTAGTACAAGTCAAACACAGAAGTGTGAGAAAATTGAATTTTAAACATCCCCTGAAAAAAAATAGGTTGAGGGAGGGGTATTTGGCAAGAAAAGGACTCGGTAGAATAATTTTTCACTTATTTATATACATTGTGCTATTGACACAAAAGGTGTCATTTAAAAAACTTGCCATTCACCCAGATTGTCATAGTGTGGACATCTGATTAGACTTTTGCCTGTGTAGGTTCCGGGGCCCTATGAGAAAACAAAAATAGACCCACTGCCTACCCAAAAGCATGTCGTCGTAAGAGTCGACCGATTGGGAGCTTCCTTTAAAGTCAGAGTACATCTGCCTGAGAGACAAGAAACCAACAGTCTGCACACAAATGAGTCACATTATCTATTAGCAATCATGCTTGGTGGACATTTGAATGTGTCTGCACGCGTCTCTTTATGGACACTAGGCTTTTCTATTGTGTGGATTCTGGCCACTTTAGGGACCCTTAGCTCTGAGATCAACCCTCAGCTTGGTTAAGACCTACAATAGCTATTTACCTATGCTGTACAGCCTATTGCAAAATTCTTGCTGGGATATCAGTATGCCTGTCGCCAGCTGTAAAAAAAAGTTCTGGTGGCTTGTTAATTTCTGGGCTGAAATCTTGTTCTTGTTCCAGTTAGGTTGGAGTTTTGCAAGCACATTCATTTTACAGACCTGTTATCTACATGCAGACTGCTGGTTCCTTGCCTTTTATAGGAAATGCCTATAATTACTGGGTCAGTAGTTTATTTACTCCTCACAATGGGTCCAGAGCCCACACTGGGAAACATGTGATCTAAATCATCATCGTGCTTTTTCTTCCCCAGCCGTTGCACACTATATTCAAACTTACATCCCCTGGTTATTTACATTCATATTCTTTAGTATTTTCCCCCCCCCCCCCTCCCCCCGCCTTTTTCTTTAGATTACATAAGTTTATACATTTTGCTCAATTTTAATCCTGCACTGCTATACATATATTTTGGTGTATTCTTAATATCCTACCCCAAACGGGGAAAATCCACAGGTCAAATATTTCAGGGGGTGGGACCTAGGCTGCATGCAGTCGTAGTAGGACCTAGGCTGAACTCTCTCGTGGTACATAAATGATTTGGGGTTAGGACCAGTTCTATATGTTCTGGGGGTCATTAAAAGCATCAAAAAGTCGGTAAACCCAGTCTTACTACCCTTTGAAATGTTGGACTTTCCTGTGACATCTGAGGTAAGATATTACCACACACAAAAACCATATTGTTTTCACAAAGTTGTATTATAGGCATGCTGAACAAGCTTCTGCCCTACCTTGGCTCCAACGAAGAACAATTCATAAAGAGATGCCTTCATGTCAGAATTCATCTCAAGCTCCAGGAGAGCCTATAATTTGAAGAAAAGAAAAAAATTGTAAACATCCACCAACTTATGTTAGCAATAATGATTATTATTTTTTGACAAGCACAAAATATTCTTTTGACAAGCTCAAAATTCTATATAAATCAACTGCATTAAAAAAAATCTTTTATCACATAATCAATCAATGTAAAACAGGGGGAGAGAGAGAAAATGTGACTAACAGTAAGAATGTATAAAATAACAGACAAATGCAAACAGCTAATTTTTTGTGGTCCTTCTCCATTGTAATAATAACTAAAGAATCAAAACAAACTGTTTAAATCACTAGTCATAATATTTTGATCTATTTGAATGTATTAAAACTAATAAAACTAACAAAAACTATTCAAATTGTAATATTCCAACATTTATTGCCCATATAATCAGCATAAATCAGACATGATTTTGTAGTCAATGTCGTACGCCATTTTGTTCTAAGATTCTGACTTGATCAGAAAATATTTAATTTTGGAAAATAGTAACATTTCTAACAGAAAAATTAACCCAGAATTAAAAATTACCACACAGAAATTGTAAAATAAGGAGTTATTACAGAAATTCAAAAACCGTATTCTAAATAATATAGCCAGTACTGAGTGACAAGTTTTTTATTGTAACCAGTATGAAAATGCAATGGGCCGTGTTAGCGCAGTCGATAGGAGACTCTCAAGCCAGATTTGATTCGCTGCAGTCCACGGTGGTGATTGAAACCGGGTGGTTCACGGTGTTCGCTCAGCCTCTAGGAAATGGGTACAGGAGTTTATACTGGTAAATGGAGCCACGCCGCTGTAGCTACGTAGTTACCTGAGGACAATTTCTTAGCTGTTTGTACTGGTGGTAGAGCATTTATGGTTTATAACCATGTGCAATGACGCTGGTTCACATCTTCCGACTTCATCTTTACAGTATGGAAATGCAAAAAAAATTTAGGGCCGCAGATATCTCGTGTAACTAAGCCGTCTCCATTTCTGGTGAAATAGAGGCACGGTCTAGCAATTGTAATCATTATAAAATGTGCTTCAGTTGTGTTTCTGTATTAGGGATCAAACTGCTCAAAGTCAAACAGCACATAGTATTATGATGTATTTTTCTATAATAAAGCAAATAAGCAGACCTGACTGATGGAGGATTCAATTTCATCTGGCTTTTCGCCCTGTGGCTTGACTATCTTTGCACTTGTCGAATACATCTAGAGGAATCACAAAAGCAGATATTGTTAGTGATGCTAAACACTGGATCAATATGTATCATATACATCAATAACATACATAAAAGACCTCAGAGTTTAGCAGCTGTATAGATTACGGCTGTGGTAAGTTCTGAACCCTGGTCTTGTATCAAACCTTTTTAACGTTTTCTTGTCCATTTTACAGATCTAGCTTTGTGTGCAGACTGTCAGTTCCTCACCTCTCATGTAAATTATCTGACTCTGAGGGAAACACCTCTAATTAGTCATATTCTACAACATGCTTGTGAGGCTGCCAAAATGGTGAAACCTTTAAACATCCTAAACTAACAGTGCAGCATGTTGATTGCCACAGCAGTTTTTAAAAAACAAACTGATCACTGTGACCGGTAATGGGGATATATTTAACCTAAAAGGATATAGTGTGAGATAATCCATGGGCCGATGACAGTTGTGCAACATTATTGTTATAGTGGTAACCTTAGCAGAAGTCACCAACAGATCAGCAGTTGCACACACGATGAATTTTAATCACATAATGGCACGACCATTTAAAAAACAGGCTATTCTCCGAACGGTTCCAAATTATAGAGGCTGAAAATATACCCTAACAGGACCTCAGTCACGTGTCAATTACGGACTTCGGGCTACTTAAATTGTACACTTCAGGCGACTTCCAGCGAAAGAGTATCCCTCCCGAAGCATGGAATGGGGCTAAACTAGATGGTTGGGACTCACAAGTAGCAGCTACCGTATCTCCTGCAGCTTCCTTTATTTTTTTTTGCTCATGAGTCCTATCCATCAAGTTTAGCCTAAATCTACACGGCTCATGCTGCATAAGGAATACTCTTGGCGTTGGCGGATAGTCCCCGCAAGTCTGCAATTCGGGGGTGGCGGTATAGTCTCCAGAAGTCCGCAATGAACATGTGACTGGGGTCCTGTTAGGGTATATTTTCTCCTTAATTTGCAACCGTTATTCGGATAGCCGAAAAATATTCCAATTGAAATCCGCAGTCATGCCATGCACTTAACTGAAAAGCTAGGCGACGAAACTATCACCTTTCAGTCTACAAATGGAGCAAAAATCTAACGGCCACCATCTGGCAAAAGCAAAAAATTTGCCATGGCTCAAAACAGTCATAGTGCCTAGCGTCCACTTTGACCGGACCTGGTATTTTGTGCAGCTGACAGGTAGGTCTGAATATGAGTTTTCCATCCAGTACTTCCAATTTCAACAAAACCCCAGTCAGTCATTCCATTCACACTTGACTGTTAGAGGATCCTGAGCAATGTCAAACCTTTCCATCATGACATACATCATGACCATGCTATACAAGGATGCTGTCTAACATTCTCTCTCTTGGTCTCTGGCCACTCTTCAGCTTTTTATTTTAAGTGTTTTTTTTTTCCCTTCCACACTATTATGTAAGCAACATTATTTTAACCGGTCTAGCAACCATTGTGGTTTTCTCATGTTTTTATTAATATTATGTGTAAACAAAATAGTATCAAAACGCCAATATACTAGTTCGTGAACAGTAATAATGAACAATCTGTAATATGGAATATGGCCAAGGAGTGGAATTCACAAAAAATATTTCGGTATGTTATTTAAAAAAAAAACAAATAAGTGAAAAGAACACATGGTCTGAGCTGTATTCGAACTCTTACACTCATGACAAAATGATTGAGTAGGCCATGAATTCAGAAAGTCAAATATACTTGTATAGTTGCAATACAATTGGCTGGGAAGTTTCAGGTGTATACTATACGATTTATTCACTGTCCAGTTTAATTAATAAACACTATAGGTTGCTAAGATGAACTGCGTTCACTGTAGATGTTCAGTGTTAAAAGCGCTTCATGCGAGTCCTGATGTCAGTATTCTTCAAAAAGTTTCCGGTCTGCCGTGATTCAATCATACATTATCCACTTTATCGGCCTTTAATCCGAGTTTACAGAAAAAAAGAACACATTTAAGAAGTAAACTAGTTCATGTAAAAATTACCTTTGACAAACACAATTGAAAAGAAATGTGAATACAAAATATAATGTGTGAAAGAATGAAGTTTACGTTTACCTTCTAGGCCACCATTAATAGGAAAAGGAAGTCGACAATTTTTTCTGCATCGGCTTAAAACGCTTTCGAACTTTAGAATGCGAAAAGCGGAAAGAAATGTAAAAGTCCATTGATTTATAAATAATATTCGGGAAGGGTGGTTGAAAATAAAGATAACTTCAGATTGTTAAATGTTTAGGAAATACATTCACACATATTGACTTAATAAACAGAGATAGATTTTTTTTAAACGGCATTGGAGGAGACTGTAAACAAAAATGTATAGCTAATAATGTATAAATCCTGCAGACATAATGTATCGCAAAAATAACTACAGAATGTACTTCTTTAGCTGCATCATCGCCCTGAACTTCTTTAATGACTTGAGATTAAAACGTTTAAGTGTAAGAAGATCACAGATTTCTGATGAAACTTATCTGGACCACTGGTTAAGTATACTTCTCCATCGTTCGTCGGAGTGACGTCATTGCGTTGTGCCTGTTCACAGCGTAGCTGCGATATTTGCGCCTTTCGGCAAACAAGACCAACATCTTCGAGCATTTGTTCACCAGTTGATTTCGCCTTCCCGGTTTCCTGCAGGTCTTGCACCTGGAGAACCCATCTAGGGCAACCGCGTTTAGACTGGTCAGCACTCAAGGACAGTGGTCCTCTGCCTTCCTAATGCGGCGACCCTTTAATACAGTTCATCACGTTCTGGCGACGCCCATCCATATAATTATTTTCGTTGCTACTTCATAACTTCAAAAAATGTGTATTTTCCAATGGTCTTAGGCGATCTATGCCAAAGGGTCGTGACCCACAGATTGAGAACCGCTGCCTTAAGAGAAGGCAAAAGCAGATCATGGGCATTCTTCGCCATCCAAGAAGGCTTCCATATATGCAGAAGCAACACGCGACCTTCCGACCCTGTGCTTATCCAAGCGATCGTCACGTCCTGCACATGGCTGCATAATCTCATATCCTTATACTGGGTTTCCCACTCATCACGGGCTTTGGAGATAAACTTCTTCTACTTTGTGATGTAGGCTATTGGTGGAAAGTCCTGGTTGTTCGTCTATTTGGACTTTGGCTTTGTGTTAGAGCAATTTTATGTGTACATCTGTTTTACTGCCTTATCTGTGCACAGTTGGTTGCTCCTTGCCACTCGAAGGAAGTCCCCAATTTGTCGACTCTTATGACATGCTTGTTGCGGAGGCAGTGGATCTGTTCTTGTTTTTCCCTCCAAAGAAGTCCCGGAACACAGAGAAGGAGATAAACGAGGGGCAGCCGGCAGGTCTAGGACTCTGATTACCACACACATGGACACGATCTTCTCTAACGTCGTTGCATCAGAAGACATAGGTCGACAGCATCGGAGAAGCTCAATTCGGGCATATCTTCCCCGTTTTGTCCCAACACTCCGATGAGTTGGGCCAATGGTAGCGGACATTTGAACCTTGTCTGTCACAGAGTGGAATGTTTGCCGTTCGCACTTTTGAACGTTGCCTCTTTCTCAGTAAGAGATTTAATGATTGGATATCTAAAACTGTACTGTTATACCGTAAGACTGAACCGCTAGATATAGCCCACAGGAGATGTTGCTTGTCTAAGCTGCGAACAAATCTTATGGTTTAGGGCTGAGTTTCCACAGTTGGCAGTGAGGTGGCTGTTAAGCCGTTTAGGACACCCCAACACCTGAATGGTGGACCAAAAGGCAACGAGAAAAGCTCTATAGGACCTATTCCAGTTTGCCCGAGGCTTATTCGAGCAACCAAAGTATGGGACTCTAGTGGTCAGTTAAGAGGAACTAGAGTCACATCTACTGAAGATGTACTCCGACGGGACAAGGAATGAACCTCTCGATGACAACCCAGAGATCACAAGAGGCCTGATGCGGCATGCGTTGCCGAAGGCAAAATTTAAGACAATGCCTCCCTCTTGGTCAGAAGTAGAGGAAGTTGTGAAAAGAGCTAGCGTCAAATCTGCTCCAGCACGCAACGGTGTCCCGTACACTGTGTACAAACGCCTATCCGAAGGTCCTCAGAATGCTTCACTGCTTGCTAAGATAAGCGTGGAGTCGAAAGCACATATGTACGGAGGGGCAACAGGCTAACAGAGTCTACATCCCGAAGGAGCGAGACCCCACCAGCCTATCCTAATTTAGGCATATTTCTTTGTTTAATGTCTAGGGAAAGATATTCTTCTCGGTCATGGCGCGCAGGTTGACACTATGCTTGATGGATAGTAAGTAGATAGACACAACGGTGCAGAATTATGGCATACCGGCGTCCCCAGGTGTCTGGAGCATGCGACCATGGTCTGGAAGAGTTTTCAGAGAGCCAAGGCAAGGAAAAACGACTTACACATGATATGGTTGGACCTGGCCAACGCCTATGGTTGGGGGAAGGGGGGGGGGTACCCCATAAGCTGTTGTGACAGGCCCTCCGCGTGTTCCATGTACCGGCACAGATCACCGAATTCATCGAACAATGCTTCTATAAGTTCGCCATACCATACGGTTCTCTACCGTGACGTTTACGACGAGATGGTCTAAACTCTAGGTTAAGACAGCGATTGCACGTTCGATTTCGCTTATACTGTTCGTAATGGCAATGCAAGTGATGTTAGATGGGGCGCCCGGCGACGACCAGGGCCTTCAATTTGGAGATCACTGGATGCCCCCACTGCGAGCTTTCTTTGATACGACTATCATCACGGGCAGCGAAGATAATGCCTGTGCTATTCTAGAGAGGTTGTAGAATGGTGCGGCATGCAATTCAAGCCTAAAAAATCCAGGAGTTTTGCGTGCACGTCCGTTTTACAGATCTATCTTATTTGTGTGCAAACTACTGATTCCTCGCCTTGCACTTATACTTTGAAAGCAAACTCTAATTAGTCGTCTGTTACGACAAGGTTGTTAGGGTAACAGTGGGTCCATTCTTTTCCTTACAAATGGGCCCTCGAACCCATACGTGGAAAACCAACTTTCCTCACACTCATAAATATGTGTTATAATACGATTCTTTAAAAATGCAACTACGATCTGCCATGATATGCCATATATTAAAACTGATTCATCAGTATGATGTGCCTTATCGATATGCGTTGCTGGTCATGTTTCGCTATCTCATACCATCACCAGAATCACGGATCAGGACGGTGTTCTTGTCTCGCTCCATCTATATGGCCAAGCCATCCGGGTATTTATCTCTTTGCCTTCTCCCCTGCTCTCCCCCCCCCCCACCAATCTATGCCAGTTATCACCAGGTTCTCGAGCCCATTCTTTGTTTAACATGTCTAAACAGAAAAATACTGTCTCTATGTCTCTATTTTTTTTTCTGTATTTCTATTTTATCAGTTTGCATTTGTAATCTGGGTTAGTTCGCTGCTGGTCTCCCCAGACCCCGCCCATATACACACTAGCTCACTTGTGATTGGTAGTTTCTGAGCTCCGTGACCTTTACCTTTGCACACGGTTACGGGAGGTGTTCCGCAATGCCGTTGATATCGCGTGTTGTATATTTCAGCACGCCAGTGCTTTTAACACTCCAAAAACATGGAGAAGCTGAGTCTAACACAACTCCCTATTCAGTGATGCAACCCATGTCACGGGCATTCTCTTTCTCGGAATGAAAACGTAAATGCAAGATATCGCAGAAACCAAACAACAGAGCAGGGACACACCCGTAACCTTCAGTAAAGTCGACCAGCTTAGCAAATTTGTGAATGAAAAGTGACCCACTCTCTTTTGGGAGACTAACGTCGAACTAACCGTAATCTGTCTCGGCGAGAACTTCTTCGTTTTTTATCATTCTATGATATTCCTTGAAAATAATGTACGTTAAGACCTCGGCTAAGACGACCAGGATCCAACCGCCACATTCCTTCCTTACTCAAGGTCGTCATCCTAAAATTCTACGAAAACTCACCCCTATGACCCGGCGACCCCTGACCCCAGGTCAAGAGTTGGCTCCGTGAGTCACCCCGCACGTCGACTAACGCGGAAGTCGATGCTGGGATGCTGGGATGGGGAAGTGAGTGAGTGAGGAGATGCAGCCCCGAGTACTTGCAGCCAGAGAATGGAACCGGCTGATTATTTTCTACTTGGGCTGTGTATAGTACTTTTCATTGCGTTCTGCGTGAATTTTCTGATCCACATACTAGCTATAGTTTACGGGTGAGCAGAGTGCATTGTTGCGTTTTTGCTGAGAGTGTTTAAAAAATTGCCTTTTGATGCTGTCCCATATAAATTCCTGTGCTGTCTCCTTCTCTGCTGATTGATTCTTGATGTTGATGGGGGTTGGATCTGTTTAGTAGTGGCGCAGTTTACTCACTCATACTCATGGTTTATAGACATTGAAAGCAAGCTTATCTTCTCTGCAAAACACCGGGGTGTCGATTTCTGAACAAGGCAGCCAGCTGTGATGGCTTATTAACATTGTAATATTTCAGTGTAAAAATACTTTGTAAATGATATACTTATTATACTTAGTCCATGTTTTTGTTGAGTATTAAGAAATTCCAGCCGAATTCCAATACATTGCTGCTGTTTGATTTTTGATGCGTTTTGATCTTTGGTCTCCAACCTGGGGGACAAGAGGATGTTTCAAAGGGACGTGAAACAGTTTTAAAATCCAGTGCATTTCTGTTTGTAATAATTTCTTTTATTATGTTTATATGATTCAGTTTAATTAAAATAAAGTAATATCATATTTTTAACGCTATTTTTAAAATTGTTTTCAAAAGCAGTTTTTATATCTACTTTAAAAATCAAATTTGTATGATAACAAAGGCATTTAATTATAGATTAGGAACGCATTAAACTAAACATATTTCTATACAGTCTGTTTCTCTTGTTGCATAATCTATTATCCTCCTATGTTTAATCACATTTGTTATTTTGGGTGGGGGGGGGGGGGGGCGTGTGGGGGGTCCTAGCCATTTACTCAAGGGAGCTTAAGGGTTTTGCTATATACTCAAGGGAGCTTGAGAGTTTTGCTATATACCCAAGGGAGCTTGAGAGTTTTGCCATATTCCCAAGGGAGCTTGAGAGTTTTGCCATATTCCCAAGGGAGCTTGAGGGTTTTGCCATATTCCCAAGGGAGCTTGAGGGTTTTGCCATATACTCAAGGGAGCTTGAGGGTTTTGCCATATACTCAAGGCACGCGCAACCTGCAAAATGGTTAGAGACCACTGGTTTAGAGAAATGCATAGTTCCACTGCAGAAACCTAATTTTAGGCTTTGCTGTTTTGTTTTCAGAAGCCAAACAATTACTTTTATTACAATCTTGATTTGTTGCATATATTTTATGTGTGTAACAGTTTAGAATAACTTGTTGATAGTATACATCCTTTAGGCTGTATCAGTAGCTTGTTGATTGTATACATCCTTTAGGCTGTATCAGTAGCTTGTTGATTGTATACATCCTTTAGGCTGTATCAGTAGCTTGTTGATAGTATACATCCTATAGGCTGTATCAGTAGCTTGTTGATTGTATACATCCTTTAGGCTGTATCAGTAGCTTGTTGATAGTATACATCCTATAGGCTGTATCAGTAGCTTGTTGATTGTATACATCCTTTAGGCTGTATCAGTAGCTTGTTGATAGTATACATCCTATAGGCTGTATCAGTAGCTTGTTGATTGTATACATACATCCTTTAGGCTGTATCAGTAGCTTGTTGATTGTATACATCCTTTAGGCTGTATCAGTAGCTTGTTGATTGTATACATACATCCTTTAGGCTGTATCAGTAGCTTGTTGATAGTATACATCCTATAGGCTGTATCAGTAGCTTGTTGATTGTATACATACATCCTTTAGGCTGTATCAGTAGCTTGTTGATTGTATACATACATCCTTTAGGCTGTATCAGTAGCTTGTTGATAGTATACATCCTATAGGCTGTATCAGTAGCTTGTTGATTGTATACATCCTTTAGGCTGTATCAGTAGCTTGTTGATAGTATACATCCTATAGGCTGTATCAGTAGCTTGTTGATTGTATACATCCTTTAGGCTGTATCAGTAGCTTGTTGATAGTATACATCCTATAGGCTGTATCAGTAGCTTGTTGATTGTATACATCCTTTAGGCTGTATCAGTAGCTTGTTGATTGTATACATCCTTTAGGCTGTATCAGTAGCTTGTTGATTGTATACATCCTTTAGGCTGTATCAGTAGCTTGTTGATTGTATACATCCTTTAGGCTGTATCAGTAGCTTGTTGATAGTATACATCCTTTAGGCTGTATCAGTAGCTTGTTGATTGTATACATCCTTTAGGCTGTATCAGTAGCTTGTTGATTGTATACATACATCCTTTAGGCTGTATCAGTAGCTTGTTGATTGTATACATCCTTTAGGCTGTATCAGTAGCTTGTTGATTGTATACATACATCCTTTAGGCTGTATCAGTAGCTTGTTGATTGTATACATACATCCTATAGGCTGTATCAGTAGCTTGTTGATTGTATACATCCTTTAGGCTGTATCAGTAGCTTGTTGATTGTATACATCCTTTAGGCTGTATCAGTAGCTTGTTGATTGTATACATACATCCTTTAGGCTGTATCAGTAGCTTGTTGATAGTATACATCCTTTAGGCTGTATCAGTAGCTTGTTGATTGTATACATCCTTTAGGCTGTATCAGTAGCTTGTTGATTGTATACATACATCCTTTAGGCTGTATCAGTAGCTTGTTGATTGTATACATCCTTTAGGCTGTATCAGTAGCTTGTTGATTGTATACATCCTTTAGGCTGTATCAGTAGCTTGTTGATTGTATACATCCTTTAGGCTGTATCAGTAGCTTGTTGATTGTATACATCCTTTAGGCTGTATCAGTAGCTTGTTGATTGTATACATCCTTTAGGCTGTATCAGTAGCTTGTTGATTGTATACATCCTTTAGGCTGTATCAGTAGCTTGTTGATTGTATACATCCTTTAGGCTGTATCAGTAGCTTGTTGATTGTATACATACATCCTTTAGGCTGTATCAGTAGCTTGTTGATTGTATACATACATCCTTTAGGCTGTATCAGTAGCTTGTTGATTGTATACATACATCCTTTAGGCTGTATCAGTAGCTTGTTGATTGTATACATACATCCTTTAGGCTGTATCAGTAGCTTGTTGATTGTATACATACATCCTTTAGGCTGTATCAGTAGCTTGTTGATTGTATACATCCTTTAGGCTGTATCAGTAGCTTGTTGATTGTATACATCCTTTAGGCTGTATCAGTAGCTTGTTGATTGTATACATCCTTTAGGCTGTATCAGTAGCTTGTTGATTGTATACATACATCCTTTAGGCTGTATCAGTAGCTTGTTGATTGTATACATACATCCTTTAGGCTGTATCAGTAGCTTGTTGATTGTATACATACATCCTTTAGGCTGTATCAGTAGCTTGTTGATTGTATACATACATCCTTTAGGCTGTATCAGTAGCTTGTTGATTGTATACATACATCCTTTAGGCTGTATCAGTAGCTTGTTGATTGTATACATACATCCTTTAGGCTGTATCAGTAGCTTGTTGATTGTATACATACATCCTTTAGGCTGTATCAGTAGCTTGTTGATTGTATACATCCTTTAGGCTGTATCAGTAGCTTGTTGATTGTATACATACATCCTTTAGGCTGTATCAGTAGCTTGTTGATTGTATACATACATCCTTTAGGCTGTATCAGTAGCTTGTTGATTGTATACATACATCCTTTAGGCTGTATCAGTAGCTTGTTGATTGTATACATCCTTTAGGCTGTATCAGTAGCTTGTTGATTGTATACAGTGTGTAGGAAGTTATAATAACTTGATGAAACACTGCTTATGTGAATATTTAATAACCTTATGATACATAGTCTATAGGCAGTTGTAATTTGTTGATGATATACGGCCTACATGAAACTTTAGTAACTTAATTAACAGCCTAGGATTTTGAATTAAGATTGTGAAGAAATTAGCAATGTAATTAATTTAATTTAAGGGTGCAAGATATGCATGTAGTAGTTATATAATAGTAATTTTTAAATAACATATTTGATTATATGGGCATTGCACACAAAAAAAGACCACATTAACAGGTTAAACTCAGCATGCAGTAAATAGAACATAAAGATCAATGCAAACAAAACCGAAACATTGCAGGTTAGTAGAACACCTTCCCCACTACACATACAGCTGAATGGTTCTGCTCTGAATCAAGTTAGGGAGTTTAAATATCTAGGAAGTATGATCACAGAAGATGGTAGAATTGACAGAGAAATAGAAACCAGATGCCAGAAAGCAAGTGTACCTAACCAATTGTCACCATTATTAAGACATCCAAGCATAACTATGAGTTCAAAGAGACAGATTATTAATAGCATATTCATTCCAACATTAAGCTACCAGTGCCAAACATGGACACTATCTAAAGCCCATATACGCAAAATCACCACCTGCCAGATGAGGTGCCTGAGAAAAGCAGCCAACGTAACCATCTGAAATCGAGTGAATAATGAAACTATCAGGCAAATTGTGGGAACGACACCTTGTACTAGATTCATCGAGAAACAGCAGATCAAGTGGTTTGGCCATCTCGTTAGAATGCAGCAAGATCAAATACCATCACAAGCACTACATCTCGGAAGATCATCTACAAGAGCAAGAGGCAGCCACGGAAAATATGGATCAACAACATTAAAGTACTCTACGCCTTCACAGCATAACAAAAGCCAGTGGCAGCCAACGTGCACTGGATCGCAAATTATACCTCCCCATGATGCTTAACAGCAGAAGTGGTTTATGATAATGATGATGATGGGCATTGCAGTAATATATTTGAAGTAATGTAACTTGCCTGTGAATACTCGACCCCGCTATATGGAGCAGAAACCTGGACAATGAATAACCAGTTATATAGCAACATTAAAGCCCTTTATATGTAGACACAAGTAAATAAGTCATATGTCATGGAAATAAAGCAGTCAAATGCAGAGATTCTGGAGAAAAAGACATAAAAAGAGGTCTGTTAAAGAAATTAAAGAAAGTGAAATATTTTTACAAAGACACATTAAAAGACACAACACTCTTATAAAAATCATACTGAGGGTAACAAGTAGACAGCCATATAACTGGAAGAATAACATCAAGAGATGGGAATGTCTGTATCCACATAGAACTGCAGGTTACTCCAGGATGGTTTAGCCATTATGAGTGCCCTAATTATAACTTCTTTGGAGGTTGAACAGGGTATCTGGGATCTACCTTATTAGTTTGCCATCCAGACTGAAAATTGCAAATCTCAGGATAGATAATAAACAAGAGATGGGTGAACAGCAGCACGAGAGAATGTACAACTAGGGCAAGAGGCAGAGTGTTGGAAATATATTGTGGAGGGCACTTGATTGATTGAGTGTGGTCACAACCCCCCTCCCACCCCACACACCCCCCCCCCCCTCCTCCCACTTTTCCCACACAATAAGATTTCCTCTTTTTCTTAGTATTCACCAGCTGTAAACTCTGACAGAAAGATTCTTGTAGTTTGTCCATTTATGGACTTTGGTCTTGTTCCAAAACTTGAGTTTTCCATGCACATCAGTTTTACAGATCTGGCTTATTTGTATGCAGACTACTGCTGCCTCACCCTTCTTGTTAAGGAAGCATAAGGTCTATTATTTTTTCCTAAAAAAATTGGGGCCCCGGAATCCACACACAGAGTTTCGGGTTTGAAACCATATCAGGGTGGATTTTTACAAATGAATACTAGTCCACCAAACCTACAATGAGTACCAGGAAATATCCTGGGAAGTAAAGGCAGACCTTGCTATGTTGATCCAGTCACACACGGAGTGCCAGTTAGTCTGTAAAAATGTGTTTCTAACATCATAAGCTCTATATGTGTGTAAATGGAGTGAGAAGGGTCCTTTACTTTTCTTCTTACTTGCTTACTTTTCTACCTTTTTAATTGTTCCTTTGTGTATCTCTTTCTGTCACTCCTGTTATTATCCAAGAATGCATTGGTATTGGTGTCTATGTATCCATGCTCCTGTGTGTCCAGATTTTCCAACAGTGTATAGACTTTGAGATTTTGAAGAGCTTATTGAGTCTCATTCGATTGTAATCCACGTGTGGTGGGACCCCATTTTGAGGGGCAAAAAAAAAGAATAAACCTGCTGCCCCCTAACTAGTATGTTGTAACAAGAGAAACACTGCTGTAAGGCAGATCTATAAAACATTTGTGCATGCTAAACTCAAGCTCATGACGTGACCAAAGTCCAGAATTGGATGATCAACCAGGACTTTTCCCCGGAGTTTATAACCAGTGAATGCTAAGAAGAAGAATAATATTTTGTTGTAATGTAGTCTTTTTGTTGTTTTATGCTGGTGAAGACTTTCTAGCCTCATTGTGCATTTTCTTATTCTTGTTTGTATGTACATGATACTGACCATTTTTTTGTTCTGATTTTTGTATGGATTTTTTCATCTTTACACACACAAAATGCTTGTTTTGTAGAAAATGGAAGCTGAGTCAGAAGCCTATACCTGCAGTACCAGAAGATCTCCCAGGAATTTCCATCATCAAACCCTTGGTCGGAGTTGACCCAAACCTTTTTGACAATTTAGAGACATTTTTTAATTTAAAGTACCCTCAGGTAAGAATATTTATTTTATTACTTGTTATGTTTTTACAGCACTCATTTATTGTTTTATTATGAATGCAGGCAATACAAGGTCCAATAATTAAATACTGAGACTGATTAAATAATGGCGAAGATGAAAATGTCAAGAATGAAGTAAAGCATGGAATCCAAAGAGGCAAACATTCATCTATGATCTGGCAACTTTGCAGCGGATAAAAAAACAAGCCACCATTTTATTGACCTAGTTAGATGTGCATTGTTACGAAATAAGCATGGAGCAAAAATCTAACATTAAATTCTGTTTAAAACTCAGAAAAAGTGTCATTGAGACAGTTGAACTTATTCAACAAGTTTATGGGGATAATTGTTTAGATTTTTAGTTGATTCAAAAGTGGTGTGGAAATGATTACTAATGTAACTAGACCTGGACACCCAATTTCTGTTCGTAATGAGGAACTTTTTGCAAAAGTCAGAGGACGGATACAAGAAGATCATTGTTTTACTGTCAGGATGATGGCAGATGAATCTGGTGTCAATACCTTTCGTAAAATTTTAGTGTAACATTTTAGCAAGAAAAAAGTTGCCTGCAGGTTTGTACCGCTTCTTTGACCAAATTGATGACATCAAAAGGGCTGTAACATTGACTTTAAGGGCCATAACAACAGAAGAACTACAGAGGTCGTTCCAGTGTTAGTTAGATCGTGCCACTTGCTGTATCAATGCACAAGGGGCTTACTTTTAATAAAATACAGGTTATATCTTCAACTGTTGATTATTTTAATTTTTATGGAATCAGTTTCATTACTTAATTGTCAAACCTTGTACAAAACCATTAGCTACAGTTCAGCAAGCTTAGATCTCTTAGGAATTAAAAAGGGTCATGAGACTGTTGTTTAATAGATCCAAGGCCACTGCAGCATTACTGGAAATCAGGAATTTCCGGTCAAAATTTACGCCAGGAACGGTTACTGTTTTGAGTCGAGGCAAATTTTTTGCTTCTGCCAGACGGTGGCCGTTGCATTTTTGATCCTTTTGTAGACCGAAAGGATACAGTTTCGTAGCGCCAGCTACTGAGTTGAGTGCATGGCGCGACCCTGTGAGCTGCGGATTTGATTTGGAATGTTTTTCGACTGTGACCAACATGGTGTTGTGAATTGTAGATTCAGAAAATGGCGCGTGGTCTGTCGCTGCAATATTGGTGGTGCCCTTATGTGATTAATATTGATCGCATGCGCAACTGCTGATCTGTTGGCGACTTCTGCTACCGTCGATGATGAACTGCATTTCTTAATGCCAAACTGTTTGTGTTAGCACTTCTGATGGCTACCGTATGCTTTTAATGCGTGTGTGTGTGCTAGTGCATATGCTGAGACAGCAGTCTGTCAATCTTTCCACAAGGGACTGCGATGAACATTCTGTGTGTTTTTCATTGGCACAGGAGCGGAGCAACTATGGGGTGACTTATTTGCTATGAAGCTGAAACTAAGATTACCAAGATTACTGGAAATCAAAGAGTTGACCACTTAACAAGAGTTAGACGTAATACTCAATAGCTGGATGCAGGATATACTTATGAGGAAAATAAAAACTAAATAAAGGCAGACATTAGAAGCCACTGAACACTTCCCATTCCAAACACAATCTCCAAAGACTCAGTCAGCCTGCTGATATGAATCAACAGACCAATGTATTCAGATTGTCAACTAAACACAACAGACTCCACAACCATATGTGCAAGAATTTCAAGATTGGTGACTCAGAACTGCACCCGTATGAATAGACAACACATAATACAGAATATATGATGCAGGCATGCTCATTACATGCAGTGAGAAGATCCAGTCTCAGGCCATTTAGCATCCTTGTGGAGACCAAGCTATATGGATCCATGGAACACATGCCTGACCCCACAGCCTTTACAACAGCCTGTGGCCTTCTTATCTAAAGACCACAAGCAGGGAGAATGACAAGAAGAAAGCGGTTCTGTTCAGTTTTTATTAAAGTTATCATTTTGTCCAGTTGCCATTTTGGGGAAAAAGAAAAACTGGATTATGTTGCGACAGTGAAATAAACTATCTTTCAAGGGCAAAAGTAAGAATTCTAACCTGCATACTTTGTAGGAACTATACTAGCCACGCGGCCCTAAATTCTCAGGATGAAGACCTCCCTTGTACTAAAAATCTTTGCAGTCCTTACAATTTATTTACAGTTTATACCGACTGCTGCCTTTAGGAATATTAGGGAAGGAGGCCATAATCTCTTCCACAGCGTCGGTTTCATACCGCTGTCCTTAAACCATAAGACAGTTAAAAAAAACTTAAATTGAAATTGGCTTCTATCACTCCAGGGTCATGTATATATTAAACAAATTCACTAACCTTAAACACAGACAGCACAGGAAACAGTTTAAAAAAAAATATTTAAACAGCTGCCTTTCTGAAATTTGTTAGGGAAGAAAACCTACCCGTAGGTAATGAAGCAAACAACTCTCAATGAAACCTGCCTAAAAGATGGAAAGTTTATACAAATGCAAGCCATAGTTGGACATGCTGCCCTCTGAGGTGCATAACTAAGTGTTACGAAATCTCAAAAGGATGAGGTTGAAGAAAAAGACAGAGGTTACGTTCATATTCTTTTTAGATCATCACTAATTTACTTGCATCATGAAGGCTAATAAACTGCAATAAAGTAAGTAAAGTAAAGACCCCTTTCACGCCTTTCGGCGTACCGGGTATATTGGAGGAACGCCCATATTTTTACAGACCATCGGCACTAGGTGGGTAATGTGGTCAGCATTACGCCTGCCGCCTTTACCTCCCTAGGACAGCCATCCTGGTACCCATTTTAGGCTGGGGCGATCTGGGACGCCCCATACCATGATAAAAATCCATGAGCCAGCAGTAGGTTTTGATCACGGTACTTTGGAATTACGAGTCAGACTCGCAACGCCTAAGCCACAGATGCTGCTAATAAACTGCAAAGGTTGGAGCTAATAGAGAGAGTAGTCGATAACAAAACGAAACCTGCATACACAAAAGTATTAACAGATGCATGAGAGTAGATAATGAGGCAGACCCCCCCCCCCCCTTCCCCCCCCCAAAAAAAAACTGGAGAGATAATACACAGGCAGACCTACAAACACTTGCAGTCACCAGCTGGAAAGAAAAAGTCAGTCTGAGAGATGAAAGAAGACAGATTATATCTACAGCAATTAACATCATGGACTCAGAATGCTGAAGACAAGAAGGTGCAGATAAAAAGAAAGGTTACATTCACAAAGGAAAATGTATCATAAGACACTGATTGCCTTTTTGAAGGAATTTACGATGCACCATAAGGCATCGATTGCCTTATTGAATGAATGTAGTTAATGTTCATTGTTGAATTGAGAATCAAAATCACAGCACTCTGACACTCCCATAAGTGCTCAGTCCCCATCTTCAGCAGCAAGTGAAGAGTTCCGATTGCGATGGCACCAGTAACCGTCTGATTGTATCTCCGTCTCATCCTTCCCCTGAGTGTGATCTTCACATAGCAGTTTGTTTACAGTCATAGTAATCATCATCATTATCATCATCTTCACATACATTCTTTACTACCATGCCCTGACTTTCTGTATACATTGTAAACACATCATGTCCGCACAAATTAAGAACTGTTGTTTTTCTTTTCTTTTCAGTTTGAAATTTTGTTCTGCATTCAGGATGAACTTGATTCTGTTATAATGATTGCTCAAAGTCTTATATTAAAATATCCAAAAGTGGACGCAAAAATATTTATAGGTATGTACTTTTGTATTACTGCAGTAATACTTTAGTTTTCTGCTACTCACCATACATTATATATGGGTGAAGAGGGGTGTCTTTGTGGTAAAGTGGTTAAACCATTTGCCTCATGCTCTGACGGTCATAAGTTTATGTTTAGTCTGCAGAATTCAGTTCATTAGTACATGTTTTTCAAAGATTGTTGAAAGAATGGGGTGTTATTCTTACTAACCCCGTGTGGGATCCGGGGCCCTATTATAGGGAAAACAAGAATAGACCCACTGCCTACCCAAAAGCATGTCGTTAGAGTTGACTTATTGGGAGCTTCCTTCGAAGTCGGAGTGCATCTGCCTGAGAGGCAAGGAACCAACAGTCTGCACACGAATGAGTCAGATCTGTCTAACGAATGCACACGCAGCACTCAGCTTCTGAAATAGGACTGCAGTTCAGAAGTGGAGGAACAACCAGAACCTTCCACCGGAGTTTACAGCCGGTGAACGCGAAGAAGAAGAAGAAGTTACTGAAGCTGCTAAGCTTGTGCTGTGGACAGCACTATCAACAGACAGCTGGCTGCTTTGGATAGAGGGATCAAGACGGGTGGAATAAATCCTGACAAAACGAAGTCAGTCCTCTCACACTTAATTACCATTTGTAGTGGCTTGTTAAATGGCAGGTTTTAATTCATGGCGTTATTGCAAGCCAAACAAAACCATAAATAACTTAACTTCAGCAAGCTTAGATCTCTGCTAAATTAAATGGGGTTAGCTGACCAAGTAGACTGTTCCCCTTTGGATCTGATGCCACAGCAACATTTCTGGAAATGAAAGAGCAGTCTGCCTAGCACAGATTTGGAGCAGTAATAAACTGTCAGATGCACACTCACTTACAGGATAATAATACGCAGATCAAGGCAGTCATTAGGATACATGAAATCACTTCCCATCCAGAACACAGTTCCCAAATACTCAGTCAACCTCCTCATATGAAAGCAGCATACCTTTGTATTTAGATTGTGTACTGGACACAACAGACTGTTTATCTGTATAGAATATTCCACATTGAAGACTTGGAACTTTACCCAAGTGGACAGCCACTAGAGCAGGGCTATTTGATTGGCGGCCCTTGGCCTAAATCTGGCCCGCTGAGGACTAGCAGGTGGCCCACGGATCATTACCAGTTGTATTAATCATCTTTCAATGCTGAGGCTCAGGCTGTGGCTCGTGACGATCCACATTTTCAAAATTGTGGGCCCCTCACTAAACTTAGTTGAATAGCTCTGCAGTAGAGAATACTGAACGTACATTGCAGACTTGCTCTCTACAAGCAGAGCTATTCTGGTAAAAAATTAAGCCTAAAGGATTAGTAGAGAACATGAGTTGTATCACAGTCTTCACGGAGAGGCCTTCTCATTTAAAATCACTGCCATAAGTGCATCCTGTATCTAGCTGTTTTATATTACTTCCGGTTTCTGATCTTGAGGAGGGGAATGAGCAAAGTCCAGATATCTTCTTCTTCTTCTTTGCATTCACCAGCTGTAAACTCTGGCAGAAAGTTCTGGTTGTCCATCCACTTTAGAACTGCAGTCCTGTTCCAGAACCTGTTGCGTATGCATCCATTTTACAGAACGGACTCATTTGTGTGCAGACTGCTGGTTCCTTGCTTCTCAGTCAGATGCACTCCAACTTCGAAGGAAGCTCCCAATTAGTCGACTCTTACAACATGTTTTTGGGTAGGCAGTTAGTCTGTTCTTATTTTCCCCCCTATAATAGGGCCCCGGAACCCACACGTTAGTCCAGAGATGATACTTTAGTAGTGGGTAGGCAGAAAAATCTGAACACCAACCTCACTATAGATGCATGTCTTTTTCAAGGGCCTAGGCAGTCTGAATGCCACTACATTCAACTTGAGAATTCACAGCTGACCAACAATTCATTATGAGATTACTTGTATCTTTAAAAATAAAATAAATTAACGGACCGTTTTTACACAGGGACACATTGGGCATATGATACCAGAGGCATATTTTGTGTAGACCAATTTTCACTCTCTGGGGATGTTGTCAGCATGTGCTGATCACCTTTACTTCCCAGGACATTACCTTATGTCAATTTTAGGCTGAGTTGACCTGGGAATCAAGGTCATTTTGAAGAAAATCGACTTTGATTGAGAATTTGAACCCAAGATCTTCTAGCTGGCAGGCGAATTACAGTCACTATGCAACCGCACTCTAAGTTGAATCTTTAACCATAGCTAATTCATTCTTCTTCTTCTTCATCGTATTCACTAGCTGTAAACTCTGATGGATAGTTCTGATTGTTCATCCAGTTTTGGACTGCAGGCCTGTTTCAGAACCTGAGTGTTGCGTGTGCATCTGTTCGACAGATCTGAATCATTTGTATGCAGACTGCTGGTTTCTTGCCTCTCAGGCAGATGCACTCCTACTTCAAAGGAAGCTCCCAGTTATTCGGCTCTTACGACATGCTTTTGGGTAGGCAGTGGGTCTATTCTTGTTCCCCCCCCTCCTCCCGATAATAGGGTCCCGGAACCCACACAGGGAGCTAATTCATTCATTTGACTCCTGAATAAAATATGATTCTAGGCTTAAATCATCAAAACGTTTTCTTTATTATAAAGGTAACTCTGCTGAAGGTAATCATATATTTTACATGTTTCTTGTATTTTTTTGGTGGGTTATTCTATTTGATAAGCTTTTTTTGTTGTGATTCTGATGTTTAAAAAGGTTTAACAGTGCATCTTTAATTTGTTTCTTTCTGATAATTGATATGTTATTTGGCATGTTCACTTTATTTCTGGATATTTTGACAGATCAGTATAGATTTTAACAAAATGTTTTCTTTTTCTTCTTCTTTGCATTCACCAGCTGTAAACTCTGGTGGAAAGTTCTTGTTGTTTATCCACTTCTCGACTTATGTCTTGTTGCAGAACCTGTGTTGCGTGCTCATCCTTTTTTTTTAAATACAGATCTGGCATGTTTGTATTCAGATCGTTTGCTCCTTGCCTCTCAGGCAGATGCACTCATACTTCGAAAAAAGCTCCTCAGTTAGTCGACTCTTATGACATGCTTGTTGGGCAGTGGGTCTGTTCTTGCTTGTACTACAACTGGGCCCTGTAACCCACACGTTAAAAGTACAGGACCTTTTTTAAGCCGTGACACATCAAGCATATAGTACTAGACCTGTATCTTTAGAGACAAATTGACCCTGGATGGGGGATGTGGTCAAAATCACGCCAACTGCCTTTACTTCCCATGACATTATCAGGTGTCCATTTTAGGCTAGGGAAGCTAAGGTCAGTTTTGAAGATTAAAAATTGGCTTAGATGCAGATATTGCTAGGAGTGCTTTCCTTTCATTATATTAAAACATATGAAACTGATGAATGTTTCACACTATCAATGTATCAATCTGAATGTGGCACTTAAATAAAAATTAAATAATGGGCATGGATATCCTACCTCAGATAAACAAACACAAACCAGTACAATAATTACATGGTGAAAGGAAGTTGTAATAATTGTAATGGAATTCTAAAGACAGGTTTGTGCATTCAGTATTGAATGTATTGTAATTTATGTGAATTTTCAGATGTTATGTATGCTCAACCATACTGTATGGCACAGAAACCTAGACAGCTTCTTCTTCTTATCCTGGAGATGTGAGGTTCTGCTTTTTGTGCTTCAGGCTGCTTCAGCCAGAGGCACATCATTCTGTTGTAGATTTTCTCTATTGGTATCGTTCCATCTTGTTCTTGGTCTACCTTGTGATCTTCGTTTATCTCTGGGCATAAAAATTTTGATTTGCTGCCTTCGTGCATAATTTAGAATTGGTTCTGTGCCGATTTTTCTCTTATGACTTCATTCCTAATTTTATATTTTTTTTGGACAACGAACAAGCAATTAGATAGTAGGATTGGCTCTCTAGACATTTGGATACAGAGGAAAGTAGATTGCATTTCATAGAAACAAAAGCAAAAAAATACACTAGTACCGAAGAGACGGTTATTGAAAATATGAAGAAAAAAAAGAGACAAATGAAATCTTATGGCCACATTAAAAGATATAAGACTAACAACCACACTGGAGGGACAAGCTCAAGTGACCAAGTGACAGACAGCAATACAAATTGTAAGATAACTGGACAAACAGCAGTTTCAGACAATGTTCAACCAAGACAAAAGATGTAATGTGTTGAAGATCCACTGCAGCCAACCTGATTGTTTGATGTTGGAATTTCATTGTTTTAACTGTTAGCAGTTCAGTAGCATGTTCACACTTGTGTTCACCGATCCCTTTCCTTTCAGGTAAAAAGAATGTTGGGGTCAATCCCAAAATAAACAATATGATTAGGGGCTATGAAGCAGCAAAGTATGACTTATTTCTTATTTCTGACAGTAGTATTAAAAGTAAGTATTATGTGTGTCTGTGTGCATGCGTGCAGACATTTGTTTTTGTGTGTTCTTTCTTTGGTTCCATAAGAAGATAACTTCTTCTTCTTCATCATCTGCTTCTTTTTCTTCTGTTTCTGTCATCATCACGTAGCAGGTCCTTTGCAGCAGCATCACTCTCATCACAGTCTGCCTGAAAGAAACTTGGTCTTTTCACCAGCTCTCTTGCCTTGTGCACTTTCTTATCCAAAGAGTCACTTGTATCCGTGCTCATCTTTGTGTTGATCAGCCCCAGCCCCTTCTTCATGGTACCGTGCCTTCTGATATTCTGTTTCTATATTTGCCTTTAAAATAGGCATTCGCTCATTGTGTTGTGGTTTACAGCTTGGCTGCAGTATTTGCTTCTTTTGTCCTGACATATTCTATTACAACAAACCCTCAATTAGTTCATTTTAAAAAAATGCTTGCAATGGTGCAATGGACCAGTTCTTTTTCTAACAGAGTGGGGCCTCAGAACTCACACACTGTGAAAAGACCATTGTGATAACAGTAATATTGACTCTTATAATCTGCCAATGTCAGAAAGGGTCTTTAGGTTTCAACAATTGACTTCATTGTCCCTATGTGAGTTCCGGGGCTTCATTGTGGGGAAAGAAGAATAAACTCAGTGCATCCAAACAGACATGTAAAAGGCGACTAATTAGGAGTTTCTCCTTCAAAGTTGATCTGTCCGAGAGGTGAGGAACCAACAGTCTGCATACAAATAAGTCAGATCTGTAAAATAGATGTGCATGCTAAACTCAGATTCTGGAATAAGTTCAAAGTCAAGAAGTAGACGAACAACCAGAACTCTGCACCGGAGTTCACAGCCCATGAACATTAAGAAGAAGAAGAAACATTTGAGACCAAGTGAATTAGGTCTTATCTCATGGGGGCTGAATTTCTCTCTCTGGAGTGGCTCTTTGGCTACCAAGAGCATTGCAGTTATGATCCACAGAAGTCTAAACACCTGCATTTATGCGCTAAAAGATTCCAAAGCTGAAACCACATAATGTGATGCTAATGACTTAAACACTTTCCCACAACTTCAGCACGTCAGCTTACGTCTGCCTTAGCAAGGCGCTCATCCATTTGATACACATACCGACAGATAGCTTCAGGCTAGGATGCAGTGATAATAATTTTCATTTGCCTTAACTGGTAACCTAAACTGGTGGAAATCAAGGATGGATAAGACAGTAGATGCTAGCAGGTGTGTACTAAACGTACATCTTCATCATCGTCAAATGCTGTTCTGACCTGAATGGGTGATCATGCTTCTAGACTTCTTGCAGTATCCAATAGCATGTATCCATTGATGTGTTGACATCTTTTCTGATATACTGTCAAGAATTTTCTAATGATGTCTTTATGTATATAAACTCCCCATGTGTGTTCTGGGGCCCCATTGTGGGGAAAACAAGAATAGACCCACTGCCTCCCCAACAAGCATGTCCTATGAGTCAACTAATTGGGACCTTCCTTCAAAGTCAGAGTGCACCTGCCAGAGGGGCAAGGGACAACCAGCTGTGCACAAATAAGCCTGTAAATGGGTGGACACGCAAAACTCAGGCCCCGGCACAAAGCCAAAGTCCAACTCGACAAGCAGCCAGGACTTTCTACCTAAGCTTAGAGCAGGTGAATAAAGAAGAAGGAGGAATAAACAACAAAAACACAGAAGGGAATAAAACATTTAATCAATTGCTGTTCTTCCTATGTGAGTTCCCGGCCTCATTCGAGGAGAAAGTAATAGACCCACTACATGTTATAAAAAGTGATTAATTAGGGGCTTGCTTTAATCAGATGTATGGCAGTCTAGCTGCAAACAACAGCATGTCAAATGCCCTTTTTTTTAAAAATGAGTAAGTTAAAAAAAAAAATGATGCTGCTGCTGCCGTGCTTATGGCAGAGGTACCTCTCATATAAACACTCTGTTCTTTGCAACAAGGCATTACTTGAAAATGATTATAATGAAAACAGGTCAGTCAAATCAGCAGATGAACTTCTTGAATGACACTTTTGCTTCTAATCTGGAGTAGAGTCACTGGATATACACATAAAATGTGAGCCTCTAGATATACACATAAATGTGAGACACTGGATATAGACATAAAATTTGAGTCACTGGATATAGACATAAAATGTGAGTCACTGAATAAACACATAAAATGTGAGCCATTGGATATAGACATAAAATGTGAGTCACTGGATATACACATAAAATGTAATGTGAGTCACTGGATTTAAACATAAAATGTGAGTCACTGGATTTAAACATAAAATGTGAGTCACTGGATTTAAACATAAAATGTGAGTCACTGGATATAGACATAAAATGTGAGTCACTGGATATAGACATAAAATGTGAGCCACTGGATATAGACATAAAGTGTGAGTCACTGGATATACACATAAAATGTAAGCCACTGGATATACACATAAAATGTCAGCTCTGAATTAATTGGATCTTCATTGTTGGTTCTGCTGCCCAGCTAGTGGCTCAGTGGTTTATTTGCCAGCTATGGAATTCTAAACAATAACAGAGTTGAACAAAAGACCCAGAGAACAATGACATTATCATATAAGGGACACTGTGACTGATGGTTTTGCCATTTTGACCATAGTTCTTTATTAATAAATTATGACATCTGGAAACAAAACAAATGGTATTGCTTCTGTCAGAATTATTTATGGAGACATTATGGGGCTAGCATTGTATTCTTGATGCATCTAAAGGGGTAGAAATAAAAAAAAATAAAAAAATGTACCACCTCCACAAGGAAAGTTAATTTTCAGTGTCCCACTGCTGTCTTAGGAATATTTATGTTGTGGTGAAACTCAAACTTCTTACATGGTGTTACTCTCATGCTACTCCAGAAACCACAAGCAAGTTGTTTTTTTAATTTTTAATTGCCCACTGTGGAAATCAAAGCCTTGTACTTGAGGATCATGAAATTGTTAAACACATTCACTAACCTTTAAGCCACAGAGCTGCACAAAAGGGTTACTTATAAACCTTTCAGTGTGTGCAATTTCCTTCAAAGTCATAATGCATTGCCTGAGATGTGAGGAACGAACAGTCTGCATATTATTAAGCCAGATCTGTAAAATGGGTATGCACACAAAACTCAAGTGCTAGAACAAGTTTAGAAGTGGATGAACAACCAGAAATTTTCTTCTGAAGTTTACAGCTGGTGAACACTAAGAAGGAGAATGTACATTTTGCACTTGCTTTTATTTCTGCACACGTCAACTGTCATTTTGGTTTGAGAAGCGAAGAGTTTGAAAATGGGGCTTCATCCAATTTTTCAGTGAAGGAAGACTCACTAATAGACATGGCTGTTCACATGACACCAAAAGTGGGCCTGGTCCAACAGTTGCCATTTGTTTGTGACAGGCCAGGCTTTGTTTCTCATTTGGAAAAGGTAAGTGATGATAGTAGCAATCTTCAGTTGTTTTGTTGTTGTTAAAAAAAAAAAAGGTTTGAGGTTTTGAACAACGGATCAACATCATGGCACAAGGGTAGTTACCCATAAGTGCTCTGTTCTTCTTCTAACTCAAGTCTTAGTCCGAAGAAGCTCAGCACAGTGCACAGGCTCTGTAGCACCCGCGAGGATCCTGAAAAACTTTGGGAAGATTTTAAACTCAAAATTTTGCCCAGGCAGCGCCGTTAGGCTTTGATTTCCAACTGCCAGGGTTTTTTACTCACGCAGCAATGCACACGGGTGTCCAGTCGTACTACCCAGAGACCAGGGGGAATTACTAGAAGTCCAAGTCCACGTGAAAAGATCCTAGCCCTTACAGAGGATTGAACCCGGAACCTTGTAGCACTCAAGGCGGACACCATGCCTCAAGACCACGCAGTAACTTTATGCCTTGTATAACGATCTTGATGATCTTTATAACAGATATTGTTATGTTATTGAAACCCTCAGGCACACTGACCTGTTTGTGACCCATTCATTCATTCATTTATTCATTTATTCGTTCGTTCATTCATTCATTCATTCGTTCATTCATTGTCTTATTGTGCCATTATATATCACATAGGGCTTGAAGTTTATTTCTCCATTTTTTTAAAAATCTTGTGCACACTTTGATATTATTAATGAAATCCAATCGAGCAACTTTCTTTGGCTTCTCTCCACCAACGATCACCTTAAAATTTCTCTTGGACCTCATGCAGGGGTAAAATCATAGCAAATTTTGACAAAGAAAAAAATAGGTCCATTGTTCTGTACAGGTATTTTCTCTGTAATTTTTAACTGCTTATAGCATTTAACTGTCAGCTGTTTAAAAGTTTTATGAGAACTCTACTTACGCCATAATCTTCAGTCAGCAGGTCTTTCACAGAATGTTGCTGTCCTCACAGCAGGTATGAAGGTCTCTTTCTTAATCCAGTTCTCCAGCCCTGTGTGCTTTCACAGCCAGGGCTGCTTCAATATCTTGTATCCATGATCTCGCAGGTCTACCTCTATATCATATTCCAGGAACTGTATTCTCCATCATTGTATTTAACATTTCTTAGCCAACAGAATTGGCACAAAGAAACTAGACCATAGTTATAACCACCAATGCTGCTCCCAGTAGGTTAAATGTGGTTGATTATTTGTTTTGTTTTTTTATAAATAGGTGTAAGGATCCATCATTGTTGTGTTCAGGTCACCATGCCGTTTAGCATTGCTAGAATACCTCTGTTTTTACGACAAGGTGCTGTTTATGAGGCAGTTCTCCTTGATGCTCGGATCTTGTAGGATGTTGATGTTTTTCATGTCATACATTATAAAATAAATACCATTCAGACATAACCTGGACATGACGTTTTGAAAAAGTTGCAACCATAAATACTGGCCTTTTGTAATTAATGCATACAAAATAACTTTTACGCGCATCACACATACAAACATACACATATATATGTATATATTTTTTCTTCATTAGATCTACTTTGGAACTCATCATGGGAAAATGTACTTGAATGCAAATTTTATGGGTATCAACTGTGCCTCTGGCATGTCCACACTCTTCCGCAAAGATATCATCGAGGAGGCTGGAGGGCTCGCTCTCTTTGGGAAATATCTTGCAGAAGATTACATGTTGGCGAAGGCTGTGTTAGACAAGTAGGTCCCTGGGATTGGTGGTGATTTCAAATCTGTATTGTTTCTTTTTTGATCTGTTTTGTTCAGTACAAATCATTGCAATCAGGACATGCATTTGTTTTATGATTTTTTTTTTTTTTTTTATAAATTCATCTGCGTACGGTAAATAAAGGAGCTGCACAGTGGCTAAATGCCCACCAGCTGCCCCAAAGGTCTTGAGTTTAAAATCAGGCAGTTATTTTCTTCTTCTTCTTTTTCTTCTTATTGTTCACCGGCTGTAAACTTTGGCATAAAATTCTGGTTGTTTGTCCACTCCTGGGCTTTGGTCTTGATCCAGAACTTCAGTGTTGTGTGCACACCCATTTTATATCTAGCTATATACAGACTGTTGGTTCCTTTCCTCTAAGGCAGATGCACTCCAACTTTGAAGGAAACACTCTTAATTAGTCACCTCCTATGGTATGCTTGTTGAGGGGGTGAGGTGGGGAGGAGGCAGTTGTTCTCTTCTTTTTAAACAAAATCTAAAATGAAGACCTGGAACAAACATGGCAGTTTTTTCCCTTTAAACTTATTGTTAGCTCCCAGGTTGACCATGCCTAAAATGGGTACTTAGCATTATCCTGGGAAGTAAAGGCCACCGGGGTGCTGTTGACGACATCACCCATGGAGTGCCATTTGATCTACAGAATTATAGGTCTAGCGCTAAATGCCCTTTGCGCTTAATGTGTGAAAATGGTTCTTTATGTTTTTCAGATAACAGTGCTTGTTGACTTGATGAGTGTACTCTGTACTTGGCGGTCTACTCTGTTTTGGCCATTCTTAGTTTCAGACATTTGCATTACATTCTTAAAAGTGTAAGGAACCATACCCGGATGGGCATAAGTTCAAATCCCATCAAGGCAGATTAAAGAACAACAAGTAATTGCAGAAAATCTGTATTTTCTCAGCAGAATAACTGCTAGCTTGCCTGGATGGCATCGGTTTGAATCACCATTATAACAGATTAGAACAGTTTTTCTTTTCCTGGTTGAAAATCTGTGTTTCCTTTGCAATGTATTAGCACAGCTGTCCATTGCCATAGATATACTTCTTCTTCTTCTTCTACTTCTCGTACTTCAGGTTCACCAGCTGTAAATTTTGGTGGAAAGTTCTGGTTGTTCGTCCACCTCCAGACTTTACTCTTTTTCCAGAACCTAAGTTTTGCGTGCACATCCGTTTGACAGATCTGGCTTATTTTTTTTATGCAAAAGCTCGGCTCTTTGCCTCTCAGGCAGAGGCATTTCAGCTTCGAAAGACATCTTCAATAAGTCAACTCATGTTAGTTAGTTAGTCGAGAGAGATTATTCTTATTATTGCACATCGAGCCACTCAGTCCTTAAGTGCTCGGATCCCCTCCTCAGTAAATCTTGTTTGGTGACACCCTGTTTAACTTGCTGTTCTAGCAGTCTGACCATGGTTGCAAATTCATAGTTGTCAACGGGTTCACGCACACATCTTAAATCTCGTAGAGCATTCAGTATGTCAGCCTGGTCCATGGCTTGTCTGGCTTTCACAGTAGTCTTACCTGCAAGTCTATCAGTTTACTCATTTCCTTGTACCCCTGCATATCTTGGCACGAAAATGAAATTAATCCTTCTCAGCCGTGAAGGCTGTAGAGCCACTAACCACTGCCTTCGGACCCAGTCTTTATCTTCCTGAGTGTACTCATCGAGTCACTGAGAATATATTGTAACATGCTTGTTTGAGAGGCAGTGGGTCCTTTCTCATTTTTTTCCCAATAGTGCGGCCCTAGAACCCACAAAAGGACAATTTTTTTTTTTTTTTAACGTATCCAGAAACCATGAGTTGTAAACCCTTTGGCTCGGTACTATGGATATCGCAACCCTTCGGCCTTGATTCCATTATAGGTACCGTTAATCTGGGAGAAATGTGGCTTTTCTGCCCACCCCCGGGAGTGAACCCGGACCACAAGGAGTTCGTCACCCGGCCGCCGCGAAAGTCAGGTCTAACCAACTTCGCTAGAGAGCCGGGCACAAAAGGACCATAGATGTACAAAGCCTGCATGTTTAATTATTCCGGATGTTTTTGCTTGTTCGTTACTTTTGGTCATGTTGTCTTATATTAGTCTCATGGCAGAGACTGATGACGGTATATTCTCGTTGGCACTACGCCCGAGTCACCCAAATGCTAATGCCTTGTTCTGAGAAAATTGTTTTTGAAAATTTAGATCAGCTTCAGATTTTTTTAATTACGTGAAAAGTAATAATTCATTGTGATTTATCCAGGGTAGGATTTTGCATGTGGACCTTATTCATATCGTAAAATGACAAATAACATCCCAGAAATTGTCAGAACCAGAATTAGGTGACTTTGCCACTGTGTCAAGGAACATAAAGACATACCAACCCTCTGGTTAAAGAAGAGTGGCAAAGCAAAGCATATTCCTCAAATTGGTCAATCACATATATAATTATACATATTATATGTTGTTTTAAAAATATTTATTCACAGAGGATTCAAGATCCGCCTCTGCAGCCAGACAGCACTACAGAACTCTGGGTATATTTCCCTTGCATCATTTCATGATAGACTCATTCGGTGAGTTATGATAGACTTATTTGGTGAGTTATGATAGACTTATTCAGTGAGTTATGATAGACTTATTTGGTGAGCTATAATAGGCTTATTCAGTGAGTTATGGTAGACTTATTCGGTGAGTTATGGTAGACTTATTCGGTGAGTTATGATATACTTATTCGGTGAGTTATGATAGACTTATTTGGTGAGCTATAATAGGCTTATTCAGTGAGTTATGGTAGACTTATTCGGTGAGTTATGATATACTTATTCGGTGAGTTATGATAGACTTATTTGGTGAGCTATAATAGGCTTATTCAGTGAGTTATGGTAGACTTATTCGGTGAGTTATGATATACTTATTCGGTGAGTTATGATAGACTTATTTGGTGAGCTATAATAGGCTTATTCAGTGAGTTATGGTAGACTTATTCGGTGAGTTATGATATACTTATTCGGTGAGTTATGATAGACTTATTTGGTGAGCTATAATAGGCTTATTCAGTGAGTTATGGTAGACTTATTCGGTGAGTTATGATATACTTATTCGGTGAGTTATGATAGACTTATTCAGTGAGTTATGATAGTCCTAACTGCAGGTGGATCATGCATGACATAGATAACAGCAGAATCATCATCATCCTCATCTTGCACCCTAGGCATTCATGATTCTCCACAAATAACGGTACTCTCCTTTGGAATCCATTTCACTGATGATGTTCCTCCATGCCATTGCTATAGGCCTTCTAGGAATGTTTCTCCTAATCTTTTTCTTCTTCTTCTGTGTTCACCGGCTGTAAGCTCCAGTGGAAAGTCCTGGTTGTTTGTCAATTTGGACTTTGGTTTTAGCCAGAGCCTGAGTTTTGCATGTACATTCGCTCTCTTAATCTGCTTCTGCCTCTTCTACGTTTGATTTTTCCAATCATCACAATGTTCTGCATTGCCTCTCTTCTGATGACATGACTGAAGATCACGGACTGTCTCTTTCTTATAATTGTATATAGCTTTCTCACTGCATTACCCATTTCTAGGCAGCTGTTAGTGACTCTGGCTGTCCACGGCATCTGCAGCATGCATCTCAGAAACCACAAACCCATGGCCTCCACGTTCTTTTTAATTTGTTCATTACAATTTTAAGATTCATAGCCAGGTAGCAGTACTTATTCAGCATTACATTTTAATATTGTATCTCTTATGTTTGATGTTGCATAAGATATTTTTAGTTTTGAAATGCCAACTTTGCCTGGAATTCTTGCTATTAATCTCTACCATACATCTTCTATCATGTGTTATAACTGTTTGACTTTGTTGACCTGCGCAAGTACTCTGCCAGCTGTTGTAATATCACATTTTGAAGTTGGTTTCTGCCAGCTGTTGTAATATCACATTTTGAAGTTGCTTTCTGCCAGCTGTTGTAATATCACATTTTGAAGTTGGTTTCTGCCAGCTGTTGTAATATCACATTTTGAAGTTGGTTTCTTTTTTTGTTACAACCGGTATTGTTGTCTTGTTGATATGTAAGGAGAGTCAACATCAGAATAGGCTAAGCAAAAGTTAATTTCAGAAGATAAACATTGTCTTAAGTACTAATCACTTTCATTTGAATGTCAGAGAATTCATTCCCAAAACCACAAGCCCTGTAGCTTCAGTAACAGATCCCCTTGGGATCTCCAAAACACCTACACTCATAAATTGAAGGACAGTCTGAAATCAAACTGACAGCCTTCAGGGCACAGGGCAGAGAACTTAACCACTTCACCAATGAGACACTGCAAAGAAATATCTAATTACAAAATGACCACTTGTTTTGTTATTTTTTCCTTTATATGTTTTAAAATCTCCCTATTGTTTTGTCCTCTTTTGCAGATGGACAAAATTACGCAATGCAACTGTGGTAACAACCATGTTCTTTGAACCACCATACCAGTGTTTGATGCAAGGTCTTATCATGGCAAAAGTGACAGAATACTTATTCTCCTGGTCCCCGCTGGTCTTCTTCCTTGTGCATGTTCTTGTATGGTTTCTTCTTGACTACATCTTGTTGCTAGTAATTCAGGTGAGTCTAATGATTATTTTTTTTAATGTAACTGTTATCATCAAATCTGTATTGCCAGTTGCAGTGATTCTGGTCATAGGCCTGACAGGAAGTTAAAGCCACTGTGCTGTGTATAAAGGGGTGCCCTGTACCTTACCTCAATCTCCAGCAGGCTCAGTGCTGATTTTACACAGCCTCATTCAAGACTCCTGAGTTATATCCTCGCCGTGCACCACAGATAAATGGCCAGTATCAGACTAAAAACCAGGCAAGGAGGGTCAGAATTGAGTATATACGAGGGCTATTCCAAAATCAACCTTCCATTAGCTGATAAAAAATAAAAACTTTGCGATAGCAACAACGTTTATGGCTTGCATTATTCAGTAGCCTTCTAGCTCATTACACGCCAGCCTGCAGTTTGCCTGAAGACAAGGAATCAAACATCTGGCAGGACAGGCAGTGACAGTGTCCATGTTTATTTGTCAGTGACAGTGTCCATGTTTATTTGTTTGCGGTTTGTGAACTACTGAACAAAGACGACTGTAGGGTGGTTTGTAGTGAGCTAAAAGGCTGCTGAATGATGCAAGCAATGAACAGTCACTATGGCGAAAGGATTATTTTTGCGAGCTAATTGGATTTTTAGTTTTGGAAAAACCCTTGTATATAGTCGCTGTCCCCTAGAGTTGAAATGTCCAGAAGACCATGTGTCACTTGAAAACGCATCTGGAGCAAGGGTGAATTCCACTGGCTGAGTTCCCTACTAAATTACAAAACATTGTTCATAATCTGTAGATTGAAAATCCTAATAAATGGCAGCAAAGATTCAGAAATCTGTCATGAAAAGATCCTACTTGAACTGTCTGCTACTGTTGTAAATATTCATCCGAGTATCATGACCATACAAAGAAACCATGTCTGCCATGTCTGATGCATGCGTTCTCTATATTGCCATGTTAACCTTCAGAAACACCAATGTCTTCTTCTTCTTCTTCTCTTCCACCTTGTACCTCATCAAAGTGTCGGGTGGAGATGTAACATTCGTTAATAAGCACTGTCAAAAGTACTATTAAGACTGATGTTCATTTCTGTAAGGCTGTTCTTAATGCCATCACTCCATATTTCCGAGGTCTTCCACTTGCTCTATGCCCGTTGTAACGTTTTAGTGTGGCTCATTGGGGCAGATAGTACCAGGGCATTTTTGTTAGGTGTCCAAACCACTTCATTTGTTGTTCTTTAATGACCTGTAAGACTGGCTTTATTCCTAGCATTCTTCTGATTTCGTGATTTCGTATTCTCTCTTTCCTTGAAACTCCTGCAGCTCTTCTAATGCATTTCATCTCTGTTGCCACAATTGTACGTTCATTGGAGGATGTAAGTGTCCACGTTTGGCACTGATAGCATAAACCATTGTAACAACATAATACATCATCATTGTCCTGTTGTGCTGTTATATCTTACGTTCTCTATACTGCCATGCTAACTGCTAGAAACACCCATATAACAACATAATCATCATCATCATTGTCCTGTTGTGCTGTTATATCTTACGTTCTCTATACTGCCGTGCTAACTGCCAGAAACACCCATATAACAACATAATACATCATCATTGTCCTGTTGTGCTGTTATATCTTACGTTCTCTATACTGCCATGCTAACTGCCAGAAACACCCATATAACAACATAATACATCATCATTGTCCTGTTGTGCTGTTTTTCTTATGTTCTCTATACTGCCATGCTAACTGCAGAAATGCCATTGTAACAACATAATACATCATCATCATTGTCCTTTTGTGCTGTTATATCTTACGTTCTCTATACTGCCGTGCTAACTGCCAGAAATGCCCATATAATAGCATAATACATCATCATCATTGTCCTGTTGTGCTGTTATATCTTACGTTCTCTATACTGCCGTGCTAACTGCCAGAAATGCCCATATAATAACATAATACATCATCATTGTCCTGTTGTGCTGTTATATCTTACACAGGGCTCACAGTCTGTTCCTCTATTTTGTTCTATCCTATGCAATCACTTGGATATCATAGATTGAATCCAGTCCAGCACCTTTTGCCTCTCTCATTAACATTCATTTTAGGGTTTCTTTAACAAAATACATACAGCAACTAATAATTAATAAATAACAATAACAGATAGAAAATAAAAATGTTAATTGTTATTATTTATTTTTTTTTAGTATTTTTATTCTCAATACTATTTTTATCGTCACTATTGAAGATATTGTTACTCTTTTTTTTTCATTACTCACATTTTATTATTACTGTTAGTATTTGTATTATTCTTGATTGTTATTTGATTCATTCTGCATGATCTTTCTTCTTCCTACATTTTATAGCTATTCATTTGACACCCCCCTCCCCTTTTCCACAAAGGACTGGTGCCCAGGAAACTTTAACCCTTGTTGTTGGTGTGGTTTCTTTTTTTCAGTTATTTTTAATATCCTACCCCAGGAGCTGACATCACAGGACAGTCCAACATTTTAGAGGGTGGTAAGACTGGGTTTTCCCGCTTTCTGATGCTTTTAACGACCCTAAAACATCTAGAACTGGCCCTAACCCCAACCCACCTACATCCCACAAGAGAGTGAAGCCTAGGTCCCACGAATGCATGCAGCCTAGGTTCCACGACTGCATGCAGCTTATCTACCACCCCCTGAAATATTAGACTGTCCCATGACCTGTGGATTTGCCCTGTTTGGGGTAGGATATTAATAAAGCACACTTTTTTCGATAAAGGCTGCTGCTGAAATGTCCAGTTTGTGTATATGTGTGTGCCAGACACAGTTCAGTGGATTAATTTCTTGCTATCAGCTTGACTGTAGTCACCCCTGTTTTCAGCACCGTAAGTTAGTACATTGGATGATATCTACCTGAATGATGCCTTTAATTCATCATTATCATCGTAAACCACTTCTGCTGTTAAGTGTTGTGGGGAGAAATAATTTCCTATCAAGTGCACGCTAGCTGCCACTGGCTATTGTCATGCCGTAAAGGCATAGAATGTCTTTAATGTTGTCGATCCATATTTTCCGCGGCCGTCCTCTTGCTATTGTAGCTGATCTTCTGAGATGTAGTGCTTGCGATGGTATTTGATCTTGCTGCATTCTAACGAGATGGCCAAACCACTTGATCTGCTGTTTCTCAATGAATCTAGTACAAGGTGATAGTTTCATTATTCACTCAATCTCGGATGGTTAGGTTAGCTGCTTTTAATTAATTAAACAAATGACTGCACTGTTGCCTCACCATTAATTGTAAAACATATATTATTCTTTCTTCACAGCAAGGTCCATTACCATTCTCCAAGTTTGAATTCCTAGTAGGCTGGCTGCTGAATGAGATCTCCTACCCAATCCTAATCATTCGAGCACTTTGGGATCCAATAATTACGTGGAGATCTCGGCGGTATCGAGTTCGATGGGGAGGCATCACAACAGAAGTAACATCAGCCCCACCCATAAAACTAAGTGAAAAATCATAAAACAGTATTACTTAAATGAATGGTTATTCTTTCAGTTCCAGAAGATTTCGCAGCAGACATCTGGGGAGGATGACAGTCCTAATCAAAAGAGTGACAATCATAATGTCGTAATCAAAAAGAGGACAGTCATAATCAAAAGAGTGACAATCATATTGTCGTAATCAAAAAGAGGACAGTCATAATGTCATAATCAAAAGGATGTCAGTTATAATGTTGTAATCAACAGGATGACAGTCAAATGAAAACAGCTTGAATGTGTTACTTTCATGTACTGAACTGCATATAACATACGTAGCCAGATTTTCTTAGTATGATCAAGCCAAATGTAAAATATATAATAATATACATCATACTTTGCTTGATCCATATAGACAGTAGTTTAGAGATTATCAGTGTGTTGTTTTATACAAGATACACACTTCACCATCTATACACTTTATAACATTTAATAGATTTATTGTCTAGACTCTAAAAGGTTGTGATAGGTTATTCATTTATTCATGTTTGGTGCCTAGTAGATTTCTCTCTTTTAAGTTTTTATAAACTGTACAGTGTTAAAGTTACTAATATCTATGGAATAAAGCCGTAACAGACAAGGTTGTCATAGAAAAAGTACTCGATTACATGCAAAGATAGCAATAGAAATGGTTTAGCCACTTAGAGAGGATGTCTTGTAATGTTGTACTGAAAGAGGAGAGTCACGTATAGCCCAAGGTAGAACATGAACAAGGTGGAAAGATATTAGAGAAACTGCATGCAATAATGTGAAGCCTTTAGGGTTAAGTCAGCAGAAAGGCAAGCCCCCTATATCTCCCTTGATATCAGTAAAAGAAGAAGAGGAGGAACATTTATGTCTTCAGCTGTTTGAATTGTATGTCATTAGTCAACAGTAGTTAGTCAACAGATTATCTCCATTGCACATCAAACCATTCAATCCAAACGTGCTTGGATCTCCACCTTAGTAAATCCTGCAGCATGTAGCAGCTAACGACAACAGTTCTGTGTTGGTTTCTTATTTTTCTCTGGCTTCCTACATAGTGCTCTTTTCTGGCCACACCCCTTTTAACATGTTTTTCTTGCAGTCTGGTCATTGTTGCAGAAGTCTTACTTATATACAGTATTCCTTACGTCCTTTTTAGGACGTAATTTTTTGTTATTTGAAGCCCCACTCTGGCTTTTGCCAGAGGCCGCAATATAGGCAGGCCATAAATATGGCCAATTGTCTGAACGCGGTTTCTGGGACCTCTCCACGGTGATCCTCATCTACATGGTGGCACTTTGTGTCATCGGGTGTTTATCGCTTGTGTGATGTCCTAGTGGGGTAGAAAGTCAAGTCAAGTCTTACTTCTAGTAGTGCATTCAGAATATCAGCATGGTCCATGGCTCATCCACCCTACACAGTAGCTTTACCTGCAAGCCAATCAGCTTGCTCATTTCCTTGCACGCCTGCGTGCCCTGGCACAAATATGAAACTAATATGTGTCAGCCCGGACCGCTCTAGAGACTCCACATTCTCTTCAGATCAAGCCTTTCTCTACCTTCCTGAGCATACTCATTGAGTCGGTGAGAAAGCATGCAAGGGAAAAGGTCTGTGTCTCCAGCCATGTTATTGCTTTGGTCACTGCCATAACCTCCATAGTCAGACTACTTGTGGTCAAGGCAATAACACCAGAATCTTGCTTCACAATTCTAACTCCAGCCTGCGCTATAAAAGCCCTAGAGCTTCTCACACAGCGAATCACTGACCCATCTGTTTAAATGATAGCGTCCCCTTGTAGAAAGTTCTTGAAAATCAAAGCCTACACTTCTCCCTCAACAGCAGCTGGACTTTCTTGTCTGCATTTCCTGTCTAGACAATAGTGCCCCTTCCATGCCATAAGCAATATCTGGTATCTGATGCTAGTATATTTCATAGATTTTTGTCTGTTTTGGGTGGCGAGGGGATAGGCCCACAGCCCTCTAACAAACAGGTTGTAAAAGGTGACTAAAAAACAATACTGCTAAAATTGGATGTGTTGGGTCAAACAGTGAAGATATCGTAGCCTAGCCTTAAACCACAGCACAACATGTCAACCATCCTTATAAGGGGGAATGTAGAAGAAGAAGTTTCTTATAATAATTGTGTGTATTATTTCATTATTTTTTAAGTAAACAATTTACTGGTTCTAATTTTCATTTGGTTTGATGTCTTTTAATACAGTTCTGAGAAGACTAGTTTAATTAGAAGGAAGGACAAAATACAAATCTTGCTAGGTGTTTGCTGAAATTATCATGTTGGTAGCATAAATCTAGGGTTATTTAGAACTCCCAAGCTCTACTACCACATCAGTGGAGTTTAATGAAATCTTCTTCGTTTTCTTCTTTGTTCACCCGCTGTAAGCTTCGGTGGAAAAACTTGGTTGTTTGTCCATTTTGGACTTTGGCTTTTTGCCAAGGCCTAAGTTTTGCATGTGCATCCGTTTGACTGGTCTATTTCTGTGCAGTTGGTTGTTTCTTGCTGCTCAGGCAGATGCACTCTGACTTCAAAGGAAGTTCCCAATTTGTCGACTCCCATGACATGCTTGTTGGGAAGGCAGAGGGTCTTTTCTTGTTTTCCCCACAATGAGCCCACTGGGAGTTTGATGAAAGGGAAGATGGTATAGAGTGCCTCATGGAGAAAACATCAGAATGGTGGATTATATATTGGCCTCTGGGTATAAAAAGGTAAACTTCTGAGGATACATCAGTACCCTCCTCTGACCTCAATATTTATTATCTGATAACATTTTAAGAATTAATCCCACATGTACATTTACATTATTCACATTTGCATCACTTTTGCCTGTAAATAAATCACTGTAATATTATCACTATTTTCACTTGGCGGTGTACTTCCAGTTTGGGACTCATTTGTTCTTGTGGAAATATTTCTTTACTAACGTTCAGGAACTTTGTCTGCTGATTTATGACACTTACATTATCAGTTGCAAGAGCAGGTCTCTATTATATACATGTGTGTTTTAACTCATTGCGTATGACATGTATTTCTCAATAGGTAATTTATTTTTCTGTGTTAACTGGACATATTTATTGTAGAAAATATCATATTGTAGTTGGCTATAAGGAGAACGGAAATAAGAATATTTAAACGGTTTTAGCAAGTAATATGAAATGTTAATGCATGAGGAAGGGGCTAACTCATTCACATCTGAATGATGATTGTTGATTTAATTTTGGACTCTGTCCTTCAGTTCACAAGTGCGGTTATTTTGGTAATCCCTGAGAGCTGTTGCTGGAGTTAGGGAGCTTCATGTTTTGTACGAAGCTGTCAACTGGGCAAACGGCCACTCTGCAAAACAAGACTGAGCCATATATGATAAAGCTGGGTGCATTGAAGTCTTATCCTCTTTGTTTTAAACAGTTTTTTTTTAAAAAGCCAGTAAATGCCAAAGAGAAAAACACCTGACAAAAAAATTGATGTGCAATTGATGAATAAATACATTGTCGCCATGGGTAAGAAGACATTTGCAAAGAGCTCACTTAAAATTGTTCACTTGTAATCAGCTGTTTCTGTATATTTATATGTAACCTCCAGTGTCTGTTTTAATTTGCTTTTTAAATTTGCTTTAATAAACAAAGGCTGTTGAACAGCTTGAAATATTTTTCAGTGAGTCAGCCTAATGCAGCCATCCAAATATTTAATGCTTTGATTGCCACTTTAAGTTTCCAGCGCTTCCATTGTAATACAGTTTGCTGTGAATATTTCATCAATGAACAGTTGAAAACAATGAACTCTGCACAGATATTCTTAAAGAAGAATTTGGTAGTGTAAAAACAAAACAAGTATTCATCATCGATCTATTCGTTGATCTGCAGTGCTTTATTTCTGAGAATTATCTATTTATTTTAATTTTCTTTGTTTAATCTGTAGTCTAGTTGATTAGTTTTGAGTTTTACTTTAAATATTTGAAGATTTTCAACACTTTTATTTGTTCGTCAAAATTGTGATTTTCGACTTCATTATGAATGAAGGTAATATGTAACTAGGAATCATAGTGAAAGGAAAGATATTCAGATGCAGAGCATATTTTCTATTCAACAAAGAAAACAAGAAAAATGCATAACGGCAAAACCTAAATTTAACTATGAACAAAGATGTAATTCACATGTTAATTGGTAATATTTTATGGAAACAGATTGTGAAAAGGGAGTTGCTGAAATCAATTTAAAAAAGAGACACTTGAAATATTTTGGCCACCATAAAGAATATAACTCTCTTTTAAAAACTATACTGATGGGACGGGATAAAGACAGGAGAGCAAGAGGTAAACAAATGATACAAGGGGTAGGACAACATCAAGAGATGGATTAATAGCAATCTGAGAGAGTACTAACAGGTCAGGAGACATGTTGTTGAAAAATCCAACCTTCACTGTGGAGATGGCACCTGATTGAATCCACATATTGAGTTGAGTCAAGAACTATCAAAACAGTACTCAGGGCATACCCATGCGTGCTCCATCCTTATCTTCAGCAGCCAGCACAGAGTTCCAGTGCTAATTGTACCGGTTGTAATCTGGTTATATATCTGTCTTGCCTGTCCTCTGAGTATGGTCAGCCAGGAAAACCACATTTTATGGTAAATGACAAAACAGTTCCCTGAATTATAGACAGTGTTTTCTGATTGTGAGATGAAATTACATTGGTCCAGTTGTTCACAGACACTTGTATAAACAACCTTTAGTGTCACCAGTTATAGTAGTCAGGAAGTGGCGATATATTGGGTACTTTCTGAGGTGAGGAAGACAACAGCAACAAAAATCATAAAACAGACACTGGTATGGGAAACATATGAATTTAGGAAAGAAAATGTGCAAGAGACACTGTGACAAAAGTTGAAAAGATTGCAAAGGATAGAAAGAAATAGAAGAACACAGGAATGAATAAAGTTTTTTTTCAAAGGGTTAAGAATTGGGTAGGAATCACTGCGAGCATTTAAACGGCCAGATAGGATGATGATG